ACGTCTCCAAAAAAAAAAATAAATAAATAAAGTTAAATATTAAAGATAAAATTTAATATAATAAATAAAATAAATCTTTAAAAAAATAAATAAACTGCACCCCCTAGTATTTCTTTAAAAGTATCAATATTTAGGGCCAGCAGGTGGTAAGGCTCTGGATCCCACATAGCCAACTGCATGGTTAGAGTCCCAGACCTCGTAGCTTATAAAACATTTTGCATGCCTATGGGTAAATGCCTGAAATCTTTTTTTTTTTTTTTTTTTGAGAGATTTTCACTGTAGGGCGCATGCGCTCGCCAGACAGACAGAGAGAGACATAGAGGCAGAAAGCGAGAAATCATCCCCCAGAGGGGATGGTCACGCCGCAATCCCTTCTCCATTCTCCTCTCGGGATCTTGGGCATGCACGCACACGCGCCCGGCGTGAGTTTTAAGCCACCGGATCCGGGACACGAACCGCGGTCGACTACGTGGGAGTCCAGCAACATAGCCATTACGCTAACTGCTGGTTCCCAATGCCTGAAATCTTGAGAGGCGAATAGAAGAAAAGGGATTGTGACTTGGTCATTCCCCCGGGGAGTGATTTCTTCATTTTCCTCACTCTCTGGCTCTGTCTTTCTTCATCAAGCACAGGAGCCCTATGGTAAAAAAAAAAAAATCTAACAACAACAACAAAGTATCGATATTTAAAGTGAAATCTTACACAATTATGTTATTTCAAAATCTTTTCACTTAGGGAATGCTTAAGCTTCCAAATGTGGAAAAAGGACCCAACATATGTCAACATTTAAACAAATATATTTCATACTTAGAAAATAAATTTTGATCTTTACCTTGTTTCTTGCTTCAATATTGGCATTGTGTGAAAGCAGTTTTTCTGCTATTGGTATATTGCTATTACAACCCGGCGTGAGTTTTAAGCCACCGGATCCGGGACACGAACCGCGGTCGACTACGTGGGAGTCCAGCAACATAGCCATTACGCTAACTGCTGGTTCCCAATGCCTGAAATCTTGAGAGGCGAATAGAAGAAAAGGGATTGTGACTTGGTCATTCCCCCGGGGAGTGATTTCTTCATTTTCCTCACTCTCTGGCTCTGTCTTTCTTCATCAAGCACAGGAGCCCTATGGTAAAAAAAAAAAAAATCTAACAACAACAACAAAGTATCGATATTTAAAGTGAAATCTTACACAATTATGTTATTTCAAAATCTTTTCACTTAGGGAATGCTTAAGCTTCCAAATGTGGAAAAAGGACCCAACATATGTCAACATTTAAACAAATATATTTCATACTTAGAAAATAAATTTTGATCTTTACCTTGTTTCTTGCTTCAATATTGGCATTGTGTGAAAGCAGTTTTTCTGCTATTGGTATATTGCTATTACAAACAGCATAATGGAGAGCAGTATTGCCATTGCCATCCGCGACATCTGGATCAGCACCATGTTCCAGCAGAATACTGGCACATTCCTCATCCTGGCATTGTACAGCCTGTCAGTATCATACCAAGAGATAAAGTGTAAATCCTAGGAATTCAAAATAAACATTCTACAGGTTTTACCAATTAGTTTTACTTAAATGAGATGAATTCGTCTTTAAGTACTTAAATCAAAGCCATCACATGCTGAAACAGTTCTCTACTACCTACCTTTATCAGTGCTGTCTTGTTCTGACCATCACAAAGGTCAAGCTGGCATTTTCTCTCTGCTAGGAGAGTTACCACTTCGGGATGGCCACTGGCACAGGCCAAATGCAGAGCAGTTCTATGAAAGTAAGAACACTTTTTAGGAAATTGTAATGCAGTATTTCAAAACATATCATTATGCATGTAATTGTAAACATTAAGTAGCATGTTACTCCTGTGCCTTCAAAACAAATATTTATTGGGAACCAGCAGTTAGCGTAATGGCTATGTCGCTGGACTCCCACGTAGTCGACCGCGGTTCGCGTCTCGGACCCGGTGGCTTAAATCTCACACCGGGCGTGTGTGCGTGCGTGCCCAAGATCCCGAGAGGAGAATGGAGGAGAAGGGATTGCGGCGTGACCATCCCCCCTGGGGGGTGATTTCTCGCTTTCTGTCTCTATGTCTCTCTCTGTCTGTCTGGCAAGCGCACGCGCCCTATAGCGAAAACCTCTCCAAAAAAAAAAAATATTTATTTTTATCTGAAGGAAGTACAATATTTATAAGCTTTTATACTCACAATGCTAATGAAACTGCAGCCTGTTTGAATAGAAAAAGCATGCCCTTTGGATTCAGCCCAACCTGGGTTTGAATTTTATCTATATACCCACCCATCCATTCATTCATTTCATCAGGGTAAGAGACAGAGAGATAGAAACCTCTCTGGGGCCAGCAGGTGGCATGGTGGTTAAGGCACTGGACTCCCACATGGTGGATTGCAGTTCAAATTCTAAATATGGTGGCTTGAAACTCATTCAGTTTCTCACTTTTCCTCTCACTGTCTCTGTCTCTCTGGCAAATACACATACCCTATGGCAAAAAAACTTAAAGAGAAAGAGAGACTCTCAACATGGTCTTCATGCCTCAAGCCCCCCAGTCTCGGTATGCACAGATCACACGCATGTGTACTAAACACACTCAGCAGGTCCCAGAATACAAAACCAGAACCTTTTCCATGGGAGTCCAGCTGTGTTACTACTGCACCACCACCTGGTCCCTGAATCCTACTTTAAACTCTCACTTACTATCATTTATGCTTTCTGTGCCTTAATTTTCTCACCAATAAAATAGAGTTAAAAAAAAAAAAAACAGTAGTTATCTCAAAGGACATCATTGTAATGCTTAAATGAAAATGTATGCAAAGTATTTGGTATCTGGTCCAAATAATAGCACAAAAATGATTAGATATTATAAGCATTACTATTATTGGTAGTTAACAAAGACAACATATAAAAAACTTTTGACACAAGAGGGATGGGAAGAAGCCCCCTTGCCCAAAGGGCATGGTCACACCGAAATCCCTTCTCCTCTATTTCTTCTTCGAGGCTATGGGCATGCATGCACACACACACACACACACACACACACACACACACCATCATGTTCCTCAAGCTCTGTGGTCCAGGACACAACCACAGCCAGCCAGATGGGACCAAGCCACCTTAACCACCATGCCACCAGCTGGCTCAAAGACAACATTTTAACTAAGTAAAATGATACAATTATATCAACTTTGCTGATATACTATGGCAATTATTCTCTCTACCCACTTTTCTATAATGTATATAACATCGTTTTTAAAATGTGTACCAGCATGTACTGGCAGTGGATAAAGCTACATCCCACATGGTCGACTGAGCAGTTTGTCTCTACCTGATAACTTGAAAAACACACTGGGCACGTGTGCGTGTGTGTCCAGTGTGTCCAAAATCCTGAGAAGAGAATGGAGACAGGACTGCACATGGCCAACGCCGCGGGAGGGGGTGAATTCTCACTTTCTCCCTCCCTCCTGGAGTCCACACACCCTACTGTAAACGCCAAAAGTATAATAAATAAAAATAAAACGTGTATTTATTTCATTTTGTCCATTAAGTCGCTCTATAATTGTGAAGCAAGTGTCCAGCAGGGGTAATCTGAGTGGACCTGAAACCAGCCAAAGCTTGCTTTGGGCTTCCTGCTCATCCAGGGGGCCGGGTGCTGGGCCCCAAGGCTCCTGTCCCAGGCGAGGCTGACAAGCATCCCTGGCGCCCGCGGAGCCGCAGGTGTGCTCCGCCTCGCCACCCTCACGCCCGCCCTCGGGCCCGGTTACCTTTGCATCTTGTCTCGGTCATTCAAGTCATTCTTCTTGAAGAACAGGATCTGCTGCACTTTGGCCACATCGCCCGCGAGCGCGGCCTTGTGGATCTTGCCTAGGTCTCGGTCTCGGATGACGTACTCGGACAGCGGGTTCACGCTCCTCTTAGCCTCGGGCCCCGTAGCTCCTACCACGGGCGACTGGCCCTTCTTGCCCCCGAAGCCCAAAATCCTCCTCATCTCAGAGCTGGCGGCTTCAGGGACGCCTCACCTCCCCCTCGGCTTTCCGCCGCTTCCGAAGCCCAACACTATCGCCGTGGATAAGTCAACCCGGTCTCGCCACCACATCCCAACACCAAGGACCCGCGGTTTCCAATCTTGGAGCCGAGATAACCGTAACCAAGCAAATCCTGCGGACAGAAGCGCGCCTGCGCGCCCCTGAGGGTGATGCGCTGCGCCTGCGCACAGAGCCAAGGGGAGGGGCGCGCTCACCCAGCGCGCATGTGCGATGCCGCGCGTCGGGAGTCCGCTGAGGTGGCCAGCGGTATTGCGTTCCCTGCAGGCTGGACATTTGGGAAAGGGAGACGCGCGACCGTTGGGAAAGCAGTCTGTGTGCACTACAGGCTGGAGTGGCGTGGAATTTCAGGATGCGGAAGGCCTTGTCCCGGGGGAAATGCCCCTAAATCTTTCTCTTAATTATCGGGACCGGCAGATGGGGTAATGGTTACATCGCTGGACTCCCAGGGGGTTTACCGCGGTTCAAGTCCATATCCAGCGGCCTAAAATTCACGCCAGAAAGGACACCGTTGGTTTGATACATTTAGAGTTAAGGTACTTGGGGGTTTTTATTTTTTAAATAATTATTTAACTATATTAATTTGATAGGAGACAGAGAAAGTGAGAAAGCAAGCTACCAGGTCCAGGACTTGAACCGTAGTCAGCCATGTGGGAGTGTCCAGCGCCTTAATCACTACGCCACCTGCTGGTCCCCTTAATTTTTTTTTTAAGAGAGTTTTTTTATATAGGGCACATGAGCTCGCCAGAGAGAAAGTGATAGGGAGAGATCACCCCCTCAGGGAGATGGCCACACCACAATCCTTCCCCCCCCTTTCGTCTCTGGATTTTGGACATGCATGCTCACACAGCCGGTGTGAGTTTTAAGATGCTGGGTCCGGAACTTGAACCACAGTCAACTTGTGAAAGTCCAGCAATGTAACCATTATGCCATCTGCTGGTCCCAAAAGTTAAGGCACTGGGACCTGCAGTTGGCTTGGTGATTAAGGGCGCTGGACTCCCACATGGCCAACCGCGATTATAGTTCCAGACCTGGAGGCTTGCTTTCTCACTTTCCTCTTGTCACTCTGTCCCTGTCTGGTCAAATTAAAATAAGTAAAAAATAAACTGAAATAATTCTTTTTAAAAAAAAGTTAAGGTACTAAATTTAATGACCAGAAGTTCTGTAACCTGATGTTGCAGTCCTGCTCAAGGAAAACAACAAAGTAGATGGCTATTTAACTGAGAGTTCTGGGAGCCAATTAGGCACAGGCACCTGATAAACACTCCTAGTATTCCAGGTGTACCACAGGGGTACAGAGCAGGAAACACTCAAGCCACCCACACATCCCTGGTTGCCAAAGTCTTCACATACTACACAAAACAGAAGCAGAATGCCCAGTAGAGAGCAGACGCCAGGAAGACTTGAATATGCTTGCCAGCCCAGATATACACCCTAGGGCAGGCAGAGTGAGGCCTGCCTGACTGAACAGACTTGACCTCACCTGACAAATCTTTGACTACGCATTAAGTTATGCAGCAGCCATCCCTAGAAAACCAGATCAGTGGCTAACTACAATACAGCAGACAGACTTCACTACTTACTAAAAAAACAAAAGAACAATCCTCAGGGAGGGGAGGTCTTGCTACATTTGAAAACCAGTCAATAGAATGTGACTGAGAATACAAATGTTGAATACTTTATAAACATGTACAAAAATGAATGAAAGTCATGTTTACAGAACTAATGGAAATTAATAATAATGATCCAATGAACAAAGAATTACAATAAAGAGAAAATATAAAAAGAACCAAATAGAAACCTGGGAGTTGAAAAATACATGATCTGAAATGAAAACTTCAGTAGCTCTAAGATAGCAGAAGAATCAGTGTACTTGAAGAAAAATCAACAAATTATCCAACCTGGGGAACACAGGGAGGAAAAAGATTTAAGAAAATGGACGGGGCCAGCACATGGTATGGTGGTTGAGGTGCTGGACTCTCACATGGCCAACAGCAGTTTGGGTCTTGGACCTGGTAGCTTACTTTCTCACTTTCTCTTTCTCCTCCCCATCTCTCTCTTTCTGGTGAGCACAAATGCCCCATAGTAAACTTAAAAAATAATAAATAAATAAATAAATAAATAAATAAATAAATAAATAAAAGAAGATGAACAGAGCCTTAGAGGCCAGGGCAACAAGTGTACCAATACATGTATAAGAGAAATTACAAAAGAGAGATTAAAAAAAGGGCAGAAAAATATCTCTGAAGAAGTAACAGCCAAAAAAAAATTCTTCAAATCTGATGAAAAACAAAAAGTGGCAGGTAGGAGCAGAGGATTAAATAGTCCCAAGAAACTCAAAGAAAAAACAGACAAGCATAAATTCTATATCCACTAAAGCCAATCTTAAACAGCAAAGGCAAAAATGCACATTTCCAGATAAAGACTGAGGACAGAAGATTATATAAAGTAGTAGCTGCAGTACTGTTGAGCTTGTAACATGGTTATAATATACAGATGATAAGGTAAGATCCATATTGTCATCCCTAGAGTTACCACTGAGACGTAACTCAAAAAATATTTAAAAATTCTAAGGACTACAATGGTACTGAAAAGATTATTTATTTATAACAAAAACTTCAGCTGAGGTGGTACAAGTGGTGGGATACTGCCATATAACATTGGAGTCATATGGGAAGAGCCAGGTTTGGATTCTGGGTTCACCTAAACACAGGACATGCCTATAATTCTGCCTGGTTGAGAGGGAAAGATTTCAGTATGCTGAGACCCAGTCAGGGTTGCCTACTTCTCTCAAAACAAAGGGAAACAAGTAAATTTTGGAAAAAAACAAAAGGTAAATGGAGGAACATAGGAATCTCTTTAGATATAAAAAAATAGCAAAAGGCAGGTGGTAAAATCAACTGTAATATTCTTAAATATTTTTCCTTCTAAAAAAAAGTTGTTCTTTGTACCAGAGGCAATGTGGGCTTGCCAGAGGGAAATAGAGGAGGGTGCAAGCACATGAGAGCCACTCCCAAAGGGGTGTGGTCATCCCACAATCCTTTTTTTTTTTTTTTTTTTTTGGGGAGTTTTTTGCTAAAGGGCGCGGGTGCCCCCCAAACATAAAGGGAGAAAAAAACCCCCCAGGGGGGATGGTCACGCCGCAATGCTTTCTCCTCTCGGGATCTTGGGCACACACGCACACGCGCCCAGCATGAGTTTTAAGCCACCGGGTCTGGGACGCGAACCACGGTCGACTATGTGGGAGTCCAGCGACATAGCCATTACGCTAACTGCTGGTTCCCATGGGCTGACTCTTCTTAAACAGTAATGAACTGGGGGTGGCAAGTGGCATTGTGGTTGCAACCCTCCTACATTGCTAATTAGAACAAAATCACAGCCACTTTGAAAGCAGTTCAAATAATCACTCTGAGAAGGCACAGTAGAGATTTTAGGTGCCAGGTGACAGAAATGTTCTAAAACGGGATTGTGGTAATGACCACATAAACAAAATTCTTTGACCTGTATTTATACTTACAATAAGTGAATTTTATAGAATGTAAATTAGACCTCAAAAAAAATCTGTAACAAACTCTGTCAGATTAGATTAGATAAGTAAGACTTCAGTGTTTAATATATTTCGGAATGTGCACACACACACACACACACAGAAAGGGGGGCAACAAAAAAGTAGAAAATGAAAATTAGTGGTGAACTGAGATCATATAAGAAACCACGAATTTCTAGTATTATTTTGGCAAGGATTATCAGTTTTAAATTATATCCAATTTTAAGGCTAACCCCCTTCCCCCAAATTAAGAATATTATGTAACATGCTCCCTCTGGCTATATCCTTCTTCAATGAAGACCATATACACTTTATTAGAAAATTGTAGGTATTTTAATAAAATCACTTCAAGAATATAATGTTGTAAAACCAATACAATGCGCTCTAAAATAATTTTTCTATTGAGTTAAATTTAAAAATTGCCTGTAAATTCTGTAACAGCATATTTATATTCACAAACTCTGAATGAAAAGTAAACACAACTTTCCATTTCTAACCCAAAGTAATTCACAAGTTCACTTTGAAGGGGACTGAGTTTTAGTTTAATTTTGCTTTTGATACCAAACACAATTATATAGTCATTCAGAATAAGATTTATTACTTGTTTATTTAACAAAATATTTACTGATGCTCTGAAATAAATTTCACCAGTGATAGCAATGTTTTAAAAAGAACATAAAAATGCATGCTGCATTATTTCTCTTCTCTTCCATTCTCCTCTAAGGACTTTGGGCACTCACACCCACATGCCTGGTGTGATTTTCAAGCAACTAGATCCAGGGCTCAAACCTCAGTTAGCCATGTGGGATCCAACCACCTTAATGTCCATACCATCTGCTGCTCCATGCTGCATTCTTAAAAGTTTAAACTCATTTAAATTCTGATTGTATCTGTATTTTTACAAGTCTCTACTTTTTTAAAACATTTTTTTAATTGCCAGAGGGCATGTGGCTCACTAGAGACAGCAAGACAGGGATGCGAAAGGAGGGGCCAGCATCCTGAAATGGAGCATGATCACACCCCAGTTCCTTCCCCATTTTGCTTTCCTGTTGAGATTTTGGGCATGAATGCAGAAAGCACTCAGCATGTTTTTGAAGCCACAGGGCTGGGATTCAAACTTTAGTCCACTATGAGGGCTCCTTTAACCACTAGGCTACAGGGCCAGCCCCCTAAAACAAAAGAATCACTTTATATATGGCGTATCTGGACCATAATTAAGTACATCTTAATGAAGTTTCCACTGATGTAGGTAAGTATGATTTACCAACAACCAAACAACATCATTGCTTTATCAAAGACAAATGGTACTATTAAGAAATAAAGATGATCCTTTAACAATATCAGCTTGCAAATTAAAATATATCCCAGGAGCAAAAGGCACAATTTTTATTCACACCTAGTAGAGAAAACAAACCATAAAATCCTTACTTACTTTCACCTTAATAACTGAGATTTCTCAAACGAGCTGTTTTTAATCCTGATAGTTCTTTATTTTTTTAAAATATATTTGCTATGGGTTGCAAATCTGCAATAGATGTCATCGTGGGAATAACCAAAATTAGATGTGCTGAGAGACTGACAAAGTGTTTCACACCCTTGAATTATGCCAAGTCAAGAATAGAGGAAAGCGTTGCAAAAGGAGACTACTGCAATGCTACTTATATTGTTGCAGTAAAACCAGCAATGCATTTCATATCAAGAGAGCTATCATCTCAATTCCAATTTCTTTCCCTCGAGAACAATCTGAATCTCTTTGGCATCCAAAGTCTCATAAGTCAGCAAAGCTTCTGCTAGATTCTTATGCTCTTTTGCATGAGTTTTCAGGATATGTTTTGCTCGTTCATATGACTCCTGAAATAGAAAAGCAAATACACAGTTAAACAGAAAATGTAGAGGAAACAAAAATATAATCAGTGGGAAGGGGGGGGGGGGGGGGGGGGCACGACTTTTTACATATCCTAAAAAAATATCTATTAATTATTTATAGTTATTGAAATAAAAGCACTTAAAAGCTTGGTTCTAGAGCATGGACAATTTGTGTGCAATATAAATAGTAAGAAAATGAGAATAAACATTTAAGGAAGGCAGAGAAATCCCTTCTAAAATAGTTCCTAAACCTTTCTATTATACAAACTTTTCATATCCGTAACTCCTCCAAAGCAGTCCTTCAACCTCTTTGAGTTCATCAAAACCTGATGCTCTCTCTTGCTGAGACTGCTCTTCCTTTACCCTCTCAAATGCTACTTATTTATTCCTTCTTATCTCAGATTCTGTGAGGGTAGTAAAGAGGTAATCCCTTTGTTCTCCATACCACTTCCAGATCATTACTAAATTATCCTCTTTGATAAAGTACTATTCCTTTAAAATCCAAACCAGGCCTATCCAACTCCTTCATGCACCATTTAAAAAATACCTAATCAACATTCCTTATTCACAAAAGACTTTAGTACTCAGGCCAGTCTTCCTCCCATTCCAAAACCTGCCTTAATGAATAGGTGACTTCAACATGCAAATGGAACACATAACCAACTTCTTCACTGAGCTCCAGGTTCACATACCTATTACCAACTTGAAATCTTCACAGAGATCTCAAAATTCAACATGTATAAAACCAAAATCATGATCTAACCTCTCTCTAGGCCTGGCCCAGGTTTACTCCTCAGTTTCTTTAGCAAACAACACAATTATAAAGTTACATGAGGCAGAAATCTAGAGGACAGCATTGACCATTCTCTCACCTCTCATAACTAAAACATCACAGACACACTGATTCCACTACAACGGCATCTGTTACACATACCCATTTCTCCATTTCTACTTTCACCACCCTAATCCAATGTCTGTTTTATCATGCCTGGATTATCACCATACCTGCTAACTGATCTGAGTCTACTCTTCCACAATCATTAACGCCATTCTGTATTAGGCACTGTAGTCAAAGGGACCTCTGTTTTGCTTTTTCTATACTCTCAGCACATCCACACTGCTGGGCATAAAGCAACAAGTTCAGTATTTGCTGGATAAATATAAATGTCACAGCGCGAAAAACAAAAGACACAGAAACTCAGTGAGCAATATCCTTCACTCTTGTGGTTTTTTTAGCTGAAACAGATTGAACTTTTATAGCCACAAACATAACTATTATTAGCCCATGGTCAGAATAAAGACTCAGTTCATGACCAAAGCTACCTTAATAACATATTTAAATCATTGCTGTGATGATGCACCTATTATTTTCATTTTAGAGCGTGATACTTCTAAAGAACACAGAACCTTTGGTTATTGTCGTTTTTAAAGTATCTGACTAGGCACATTATATCTAAAAAAAAAAATAAGCAGAGAAAAATATAATTACCCTTAGAAGGATTCTGATTTCTTGTTCAATGGCAGACTGGGTTTCTGGACTCAGTTTTCCTGTATCACTGTAGGTCATAACTCCAAGCTAAAACCAAAGGCAAGAAAGTAAAACACCAACGAATGCCATCGAGTAAGAAAAATCCCATGTGTAACAAAATATCATGAAGGGTCAGGAAAAAATACAAAAACGCCCAGAAGGGCAAAGGAATTTCATTATTCTGAAAGCATAAAGACAACAATCAAAATAGTTAAAGTATAAAGAGAAAAACTGCAAGTCATTTTAAGTCTGGTTCTGAGTACCATCTCAGAAAACCTTGACAATTATTCCAAATCCAAAAAACCCACAGATCAGAAAATGGAAGCACTTTTCATGATAGTGATAGTGCAGGAATGTGAAATTTTTTTTTTTTTGAGAGGTTTTCGCTATAGGGCGTGTGCGCTCGCCAGACAGAGAGAGAGAGACATAGAGACAGAAAGTGAGAAATCACCCCCCAGGGGGGATGGTCACGCCGCAATCCCTTCTCCATTCTCCTCTCGGGATCTTGGGCACGCACGCACGCACGCACACGTGCCCGGCATGAGTTTTAAGCCACCCGGTCCGGGACGCGAAGCGCAGTCGACTACGTGGGAGTCCAGCAACATAGCCATTACGCTAACTGCTGGTTCCCGAAATGTGAAATATTTTTAAGAGTAAAATAAGCATGCTTAGAAAGTATGCTCTTTTATGCCATTTGAAAATGTTAAAAAGACTAAGAATTTATCACTTGTTTAAATTATGAAATAATAATTACTACCTAAGGAGCTATGAGAATGCTGTTTCTGTTACTCTGAGAATAACATTTAGAGCAATGTTTAGAATGAGCATCCTCAAATCCACTTAAAATGGGACAGGGGAAAGTTATATATATTATCAATTTATAATCAAAATTATCTCTCAAAGAGTCAAATGGCATACTGTTAAACACAAAAAAAAGATTAGATTTAATTAAATAAAAGATTATTACCTTTTCACTCATTCCAAATTTGGTAACCATCCGTTTTGCTATTTTAGTTGCATTATCAAAGTCACTGGAAGCACCTACAATAAGAAAAAACAAGAAAGAGTTACTCAGTTTTTAAAAACTTGCCAGAGGAGCATGTGTTCATAAGAGAAAGAGACCCCTGTGCGAGATGCTCATGCCTACAATCAGCTCTTCTCCGTCATTTTGGGATTTTAGGCACCATACACACACACTGGTGGTTTCTCAAGCTACTGGATTCAGGACCTGTATTGTGCAGTTAGCCATGTGGGATCCAGCCACCTTAACTACCATGCCACGGGCTGGCCCAGGATAATTCAATTTTAAAGAACACCTTTAAACAAAAACAATTTCAACCAAAGTCAGTTACTTCAAGTGAGAGAGAAGAGACAGGTATTTTTTTTAAAGGTTTTTGTCATAGGGCACATGCACTTCCCAGAGGGAGAGAGAGGAGAGTGAAAGTGAGAAATCACCACCCCCCCACCCCCCACCCCCCGGTGGGAAGGGCCACGGCGCAATCTCTTCTCCATTTTCCTCTTGGGATTTTGGGTGCACATAAACTTGCCACCTTCTGGGCCAAGGTATTTTTGACAGAGTGTAGCCACTTCACGATCCACTTGCCCCTATCTCCCAGCTTGCCAAGAGTATAGTACCGCTGCGCTCACCCTGTTAAGGGTGGCTTGAGAACAAAACCCAGGTTCCCATGACATCCAGCCTCATGTAGTGGGACACCCTATTGCCTGTGCCACCCTGGCTGGGCCAAAACCATTTTCAAAGCCAACCTGTTGTTATATGGTCACTTCCAAATATAAGCTCCTCCGCCACTCTTCCTCCCATACTAACATCCATTTGTGCAAGCAGCTGGGCTCTAGTTTCATTCCACCTGTCATTCTCAGGCAACAGGGACACCTAGACAATTGAAAACATCATCAGATAATAGCTAAAGAAACAAAGACAGATACAGTTCTTCAATAGTTACATTAAAACCAAGGAGTATAATGTAGCTCTCACTAATACCATAGTGCTGAATGATGAAAAATATTTAGTGGTGATGACAAAACCAGCAGCTAGGAAACATTTTTTTTTCTGAGAAATTCTAAAAATACTGTATTAAAAAACAACAATGAACTTATTACATGTTCACATGAATCACATTTTTAGGAAAACTTTATTTTCAAAAATCATTTAGTGAGAAAGTGAGCCATTATTTCACTTTTTTTGTGGCAAATCTTAATTTCTGGCTTAGTAGAATAAACCGAGTTGGGTTTTCACATTTGCTTCTTGTATTGAGTCTGCTATGATTATCACTGTCTTGTAGTCTCTGGAAAACTCCATTGAATGCTCCTGGCAGAATTCACATGGAACTTGAATTTCATAGGTCGACTTATCACATCCTCTTTTTCATGGCAAGGATACTTTCTAACTGGTGGGCCATGAGTTTTATTCACTCTGTTGCCAGGAATCTCTCAGTTCTTAAGCAAGCAGTGCTTTTCAAGTTTTCATTTCTTTTCGGGTCACTAGTTTATAATCCCTTCGGCTGTCCAGAAGCCTGGAACACAGTAGTGTTTATAAACTAGCCCTAGAGGAAAGGGCTGAATTGTACTTTAAAGGCCACAGGCTCCCACTAGAAAATTCTTTATAAAGCAAAAGTGAATCTTATAACCAATAGGTAGATAATGCTGCAATGAAACTGTTTTATCTAGTTGGATAAATATGTTTAAAATACCTACCACTAGAAAGATATGTGAATAAAACTTCACTAAATAAAAACTATTGAACTAGTTACTTTGACACATAACCTCTCTCTTTTAGAGGACCAGAGCAATTAGATATTTAAGGAATACAGTTTGTTGTCATTCCTCAAACTTCATAATATAAACATCTTTCACATATATTAAGAGACAGTCTTTATTCACAGAAAAGTTTCTAAAATGTGTCTATCTGATTTCAAGATGGTTCAGAAACTAGGGGCCAGCAGGTGGTGTGGTGGTTGAGGCGATGGACTCCTACATGGCCAACTGAGGTTGGACTCCTAAACCTGACAGCATGCTTTCTCACTTTTCTTCTCTCTGTCTCTGTCTTTCTCTGGTCAAATTAATAATAATAAATAAAATGAAATAAAATAAGATGGTTCAGAAACTAAAATCAAAGTTAAGAAACATAGGAAGAGGCTAAATTTTCTTTGTAAATATTTTAGTCTGTAATTTCCTATAGAAGTCTTTGTAAAGCTCTATTTTGAAGCAAAAAGAAAAACTACAAGAAACCTACGTGTCCGAGTGTTGGTCCTCGTGGCATGATTGTAGCTTTGTTGATAGGCATTGCATCTTTTGTGTAATAAGCAATAATAGCATGGCCAGATTCATGATACGCAGTGATGGTTTTGTTTTTGTTATCAATTTCCACGCTTCTTCGTTCAGGTCCTGAGATAAAAATTTAACTAAAGTAAAATACTCCACTAGAAAGTTGTATTTAAAATCAATGAAACTCATTCTCTCTTGCTAATCAAATATCTGATATAGGACTTAATATAAGAAATTAAAATCCCAAACTCATTCTCTTTAAAGTCATTCTAAAGTCAAATTGAAGTCATATTAAAGTTGTTAATATTAATAAACATTTCAAACACAGCAAGTGTAAAAAAAAGTATAGAATTTACTCTACATAAAACACATAAAAATTGTAACGATTTGTTAACAGCAAACCAAAACTGAAAAAACTATCATCTTAATCCTCTGTCAAAGGGGAAACTTAAATCTAGTTGTCTAAACTGAATATTTCTCAAAGAAAAAAACTTATTCTCTAACATAACAAAAAGAATAAAATAGATAAAAACAGAAAACCTACCCATTAGAATTTTGTCTTTGGAAAACTCGAGTTCTTTCATGGTAACCATTTCTTTTCCATCAACAGCTGCCTTTAACGCAGCTTGGTTCACAAGATTCTCCAACTCGGCTCCAGAAAAGCCAACAGTACCCCGAGCTATAATCTCTGGATCCACAGCTATGTAAAAAGAGAACACAGTACTAAAAATCCAAATAGCTAACAGAAAGCTCTTTTTCATGAAGAACCAACATCCTGAAGAAAAAAAGAAAATATTCTGAATTATACTTTAAGATACCTTTTTTTCTTTAGTTCTTGCAATAAGGACACATGCTTGCTGGAGAGAGACAAGAAGTGAGAAATCACTCACCCAGAGGGGATGATTATATCACAGAACCTTCTCCTCTTGAGATTTTGGGCATGTATGCACATGTGCCCAGTGTCATTTTCAAGCTGCCAGGTCTGGGACTTGAAATGCAAAGTCAGCTATGTGGGATCCAGCATCTTAATTTCTATGCCAACTGCTGGCCCTAATTTAAAATAGCTTAAAATTCAAATAAACTTAAAAAATTATTAAAATACTTAAAGAGCCAAATTGCCACTAAAATTGCCAGCAGTGCCCAGCCTCTGTGGCACAGTGAATAGTATGCTAGACTGAAAAGCTGAAGCCACATGCCAACTGTGGTTCAAGTTCCCAGTTGGGCCAGCCTAAAAACATGCCCAGGATCTTGGCAGCTGTAGGAAGGGGAGTGCAGTGTAATGAAGCCCTATAAATAGTTCTCTGATACACACTCACATGCTCTATCAGGAATGGAAAAACAAGGGCACTGGGACAATCTCACAAAAGTTCTTAAATTTAAATAATTTTGTAAAAAATAAGAAAATGTAGTTGTTCTATATGAATTAGAAAGTTTAAATACGACCTATATTAATTAGGTGAGTAGCCTAACTACCATCTCACAGACAACATCCTATTATCTGAAGTTCATCTTGAAATATTTTGGACATAAAAGTTCCCCCATTGTAGGAAACATATTTCATTTTATGAACTGACTCAACTACCACTGAAAATACTAGTTTTAATATCTTCATTTTTACTTAATTGGGTCCACTATATTTCTATGTGTTTCATTTTATAGTTTACTTTCTTCCCTTTTGGTCTCCAATTGAATATATCATAAAGCTACCTTTCTGGACATTTTCCTATCATTCTGCATTTTATTACTGTCTTAAAAATAACCTTATAGGGCCAGAATCAAAACCTAGTGGTCAGAGGAGTCAGACTTCACATGGCCAACTGTGGTTCAAATCCCAGCACTGACAACTTGAAAAACATGCCAAGCTGGTGTGTGTGCATGCTCAAAATCATGACAGGACAGAGAAATGGAGAAGGGACTGCAGCATGACCACTCCCTGTTGGGAGGTGCTTTCTCCTTCTATCTCAGTCTCTCTGGTTAGAAAACATACTCCGTGACAATAAAAAAATAAATAAATAAATAAAAAACTATGCATATATTCAACTTCGAACATGTCTGAATAAACTTTGGAACCAGGATTCAAAATATTACAGGTCCATAGTATACAGATTTATGAGAACCATACACTCATCTCAACTACTAAGTATATGTACTAATTAAGAAATAGACTTTTAAAAGGACATTTAAGTGGGTAAAAAAAGGACATACTAAAGAACTGGTCTTTCAATACACTTGTCAAGGAAGGACAACAGACACGGTGGATGGGTAAATTACCACTATATAGAGATGAAGTATGTATTATACAATTAGACTTACACTGATCAAACTTTATTTTATTGAGATACCATTTCAAAATTTCTGTTCGACCTTTCACATCTGGCCTTGGAACTGTAACTTGCATGTCAAAACGACCAGGACGTATTAGGGCACTAAATTAGGAAGAATGTAAAAAGAAAATGTAAGTTAATAAACTAACTATGCTAAAATTCAAGACAGGATTGACATTAAAAACAAGAAGAAAGACAATGGTAGCCAGATATTAGATAGATTTTTAAAGGGAAATGTTTAGATAGTTTCATTTCAAACCCAGCTCAAATTATAACTTGGAGGTAGAACAAAGGTTCAGTGAAAATATGTGTGTGCATGTAGGTAGCATATACCTCCGCAAACACAAACAAGCAAGTAAGTTTGTAAAGGAATAAGAAATTCTGCAGCAGATTATTAGGAAAAATACAAGCCCATCTTGGAGCATGGTGTCTTTTTTTATTTAGTTTTATTCACTTTTTTAAAAAATTTGACCGGGGGGGTGGGGTGAGGGGAGAGAGAGAGAGAGACAGACAGACAGAGACAGAGAGAGAGACAGAAAGTGAAAAAGCAAGCCACCAGGTCCAGGTCTCAAACCATGGTTGGCCATGTGGGAGTCCAGCACCCTTAACCACCATGCCACCTGCCAGCCCCACAAACCCATCTCAAATGCTAAGTAAAGAATGTTAGACTTCTCTTAAGCAAAGACAAATTACTGATCAAATGCAATTACAAATAATTCACATAATGTGTTAAAATTTAATAATTGTAATTAAAAACTCACATTACTACTATGATAATTTTTTTTTCTTTTTAGAAAGTTTTTTGCTATAGGGTATGTGCACTTGCCAGAGAGACAGAGAGACTGAAAGCGAGAAATCATCTCCCAGGGCAGATGGCCATGCCACAATCCCTCCTCCTCCATTCTCCTCTCAGGATTTTGGACACACACACACATGCAGCAGCGAGTGTTTTTTAAGCAGCCGGATCTGGAATTCGAACTGTGGTGAAATACGTGGAAGTCCAGCAACACAACTATTATACCCTCTACTGGTCCCTAACTTACTTACTTACTTAATTTATTTATTTATTTATTTTTAAAGAGAGATTTTTGTTTTAGGGCACATATACTCCCCAAAGAGACAAAGACGATAAGCGAAAAATCAACCCTTCGGGTAATGGCACGCCACAATCCCTTCTCCATTCTTTTCTTGGGATCTTGAGCATGCACACACATATATGCCCCACATGAGTTTTAAGTTGCCAGATCTGGGACTCGAACTGTGGTTGACTACATGGGAGTCCAGTGACATAACCATTACATCATGTGCTGGTCCAAGTACATTTTATTTTAAAATGCTTTCCACTGGGCCAGCAGGTGGTGTGGTGATTAAAGCACTGTCCTACCATATGGCTACCAAAGTTCGAATCCCCGACCTGTAGGCTTGAAAATTTTGCTGCGTGCATATGCATGCATGCCCAAAATCCCAAGAGGAGAATGGAGAAGGGACTGTAGCATGAGGATGATTTCTCACTTTCCCTTTCCCAGTGAGCACAAGTGCCCCATGGCAAAAACATACATACAGTGCCTTCCACCAAAACTTTTGTGATACAATAAACAGAAGGTATGTTTAACAACTTTAGTGAAATATAATTCACAATTAAACTGAGTAATTCAGTGGCTTTTAATATAATCAATTGTGTAACTATCATCACAATCTATTTTTTTTTTTTTTTGGAGAGGTTTTTGCTATAGGGCGCATGCGTTCACCAGAAAGAGAGACAGACAGAAAGCGAGAAATCACCCCCCAGGGGGGATGGCCACGCCACAATCCCTTCTCCTCCATTCTCCTCTCAGGATCTTGGGCATGCATGCAAACACGCGCGGCGTGAGTTTAAGCTGCCAGGTCCGGGACTCGCACCACGGTCGACTATGTGGGAGTCCAGCGACATAGCCATTACGATAACTGCTGGTCTCTATTATCAGTATATTCTCATCCACCCAAAAAGAAATCCCATATACAATGGCTCTCCCATTCTCTCTAACCTTTGGCAACCACTAATCTAATTTTATCTACATGAAATGTGCTTATTCCAGAAAATTCACATAAGTGGGGTCACACAGTGTAACAATGTGTGATGGGCCTCAATTTTTAGCATGATATTGTAGCATGAAACAGCATTATAGAAGTTTTAATACTTACTTATCCAATGCCTCTGGGAAGTTCGTGGCTCCTATGATGATAACTCCTTCATTGGGTTTAAAACTATTGTGAAAAAAAAAAAATCAACTTTTCATTTAAGATTGAAGTATAGCACACATATAGCAGCAATATTCTACCTAAAACTGTTTCTCGTTAATCTTAACAAAAGCCAAGAAGAGAGACCTATAATAGCCACTAATCATCTGTGATTACATACCTTCACAGTATCTGTTATACATAGAAAAAGATAATCTGAAAGAAAAAGCTTGGGTACCTGCTTAGTTTTTTAATAACTACAGTTTATTCATTCAAATTATTCACTTCATAATTGATTCCAAAATGTCTTATACTGATTTTAAGATACCTCTTTTAGGCCACCCAGTGGTGTGGTGGTTGAGGTAGTGGTTCACTATGCAGTTCAAGTCCCAGACCCAGTGGCTTGAAAACTATACGTATGTGTGCCCAAAAGGAGGGGAAAATGGAGGACATGGGATTGTAGTATGAGCATTCCCTCTGTGGGTGTTTTCTCACTTTCTTTCTCTGGACAACACATGTGCCCTCTAACAAATTGACAAAAAGAAGGTACTCCTTTCAAAGCAACACCACCTCTTGCTCTCTGTGTGTGATTTATTCATTTATGTCCTTCACTGGAGTGAGACAGGTAATCTCCTCAGGTCTTCTTCCCATAAGACCTGCAGCCAGCCAGGGTCACGGCACATTTGTAGTCATCCCAGTGTGTTCAGGGACACTCAAGATACAAACAGAGCTTTCTGAAAGGCTTCTAACACCATACAGCAAGGCTTCCACTGCATCTGCCATTGTAGCTTGGCCTCTTGTCATTTAGATTCGGACACTGATGTAAGCTTTAAATCTATTACAACATACAGTGCTAGTCTTTAACTATGTATAGACCAGCATACACTCCCATTATTTCTTCAAATAGACTATGGGTTTCAGAGAGAGAGAGAGACTGAAATCACTGTTTTCCTAACGTTAAGTATAACATAAGAAAAGAAAAAATATATCACAAATTAAATATACACCTAATTGGTAACATAAACAATACAATAATGAGAGAAAAGTCTTCCTTGAATACTTGCATAAATATTCTGTTGTCTTTACATCTAACATTTCTTTATCTCTAAAATGCTATCAAAGGCTTTATAGAAACAATTTTTATAAGATCAAGTCTACACATATAAAATCTGGAAGGCATCTATTATTCTAAATAATTTTTAAGATAGGACAAATCCTGATTTAAAAAATAATCAACATATTCCACAGACAAAAGACAGTTACCCATCCATTTCAGCAAGAAGTTGATTTATAGTCTGCCTCGAATAAGGATGCATTGGAGATTCAATTCTCTTCCCACCAACAGAATCTAGCTCATCAATAAAGATAACACAAGGAGCATTGGCTTTTGCTTCCCCTAAGAAAACAGAAAAGATTCCAACAATTTAAAATTAATCAATACTTTCTGAATAAAGTCAAATAAATATTAAAAAACGATTAAGTCAAAAGTCAACAAAAAACATTCATAAGAAGAAAATATATAGAAAGATGTCATTTTTTGCTCACTTAAGAATAATAACCTTGGGGGGAAAAAGGGAACAATAACAAAAAGAATAATATAAAATAAAAACAATTGAGACCAGCAGTTGATGTAATAGCCATGTTGCTGGACTCCCATGTAGTCGACCGTGGTTTGAGCCCCGGACCTGATGGCTTAAACTCATGCTGGGCGCATGGGTATGCATGCCCAAGATCCGGAGAGGAGAATAGAAGAGAAGGGATTGTGGCGTGGCCATTCCCCTGGAAGGGGTGATTTCTCGCTTTCAGTCTTTCTCTCTCTGTTTTTCTGGAAAGCACACATGCCCTATATCAAAAACTTCTCAAAAAAAAAAAAAAAAAAAAAAAAGAAAAGAAAAAGAAAAAATGATTTCATATTCTTTCTTCCTAACTATAAAATATCATATATAACCAGGTTTGAGGCTAATTATACCTTTATTACACACTACAGAATTGAATAAAATAAAAAGACAAAGAGCTTTTTGGCATCCACCAATTTAATTCATCCAATATTTTCATCAGCTCTTTGATAATTCTGGCTATTTAGAAAAAGAGTAAACCTTTATTAACATACTCAGTTAAACTAAAACCACAAAGACTATTTCAGCTGACTACCCATGATAAGCAATTAGCAAAGAAAGAATAAATATTCTTCCTCTAAAATGGACAGTGGTTAGCAATTGTACTAAAGCTCTATCAAAACGTACTGAAAAGATTTCTGATACGGCTGGCTCCCACACCCACAAACATCTCATCAAACTCTGATCCAGAAGCATAATAAAAAGGAACATCAGCTTCTCCTGCAACAGCTCGGGCAAGAAGTGTCTTTCCTGTCCCTGGTGGTCCAACTAAAAGAATTCCTAAAAGAAAAAGTAAACAAAAAAGACTCAAACTTTTTAAAAAGCCCTTGATATGAACCTGTAAGACAAATAATTACTCATTTATATAATGTGAAGCTGAAGGCAACCAATGGTCAATATTTTGAAACAGGAAAACATTATTTGTCTCTGTTAATGATTCACTTCAGGATCTTCTCCACAACTCATTTCTTTTGGTATCATTTATGTGTTGTGAATATATCAGTAACAGACAAGACAAAAAGAAAGAATAATGAGGCAAAGGAATATAAACTTATTTTTCACTAAACTAGATGGAATTCACATAATAGATCAAAATACTAAACAACCAACTAAATATAAAGCATGAACATGTTTTATGATAAAAATGTTTTAAAATTCTAGGGATATTTCATGAAATGTCAATAAGGCTGAAGAATAAAAATAAAAGTTAAATAAATAAAAATATACATGTATATTTTACTCCCAAGAGTTAAAAAAAAAATACATGAAAAGAAACAAACTGAATGATAAAACAGAACAAAATGTTAAAAACTTGGTGAGTGTGAATCAAGAGTATGGGGACCACGCTTCACTCAGTTTTACAACTTTAAAATCCGAACTTCTATAAAACTTTTAAGTGAGAACCAGCAGTTATCGTAATGGCTATGTTGCTGGACTCCCACGTAGTCGCCCGCAGTTCGCATCCCGGCCCTGGTGGCTTAAAACTCACGCCGGGCGCGTGTGAGTGCGTGCCCAAGATCCCGAGAGGAGAAGGGATTGGAGCATGACCATCCCCCCTGGGGGGTGATTTCTCACTTTCTGTCTCTATGTCTCTCTCTGTCTGTCTGGCAAGCACACACGCCCTGTAGCAAAAAAACTCTCAAAAAAAAAGAACAAAAAACTTTTAAGTTACAAAAAAAAGATTGTAGAAATGCATATTCAACTTGAATGCATATTATGTAAAATAGCAGTTAATAAATTATACTCAATAAAGAACAGGTAAACTATTTTTTGGCATGAAATCATGGTAAAGTATCTTACCTTTGGGAAGTTTGCCTCCAAGCACAGTAAATTTCTGTGGGTTTTTTAAGAATTCAACGACTTCCTGTAATTCTTGTTTAGCTTCTTCTACCTATTGTTAAAAAAATTTACAAAGTTAATTTTAAATAATGGTTAATATGATTAGATTATTACAGCATTCTCTTTGAAAATCACTAACTTGATTTAGATACAGAATTAACTTGGCCTTATGTTTCTACCATGAAATATAAAAAAAGTCCCCTTATAAACACATACAGGATTTTTTCCTGACCCTTACTTTCAGTTATACAGGTCTTCCTACTATCCAAAAAAAAAATCATTCCAAACTTTTATATTTTCTTAGTGAGAAAAAAGAAGTCAAATATGTTGGTCAAAAACAAATTACCTGGGCCAACCAGCAGCATGGTGATTAAGGTGGCTGGATCCCACAAATGACTGTGCAGTTTGAATTCTGGAACATGCCAGATGTGTGTGTGTGTAGCTCAAGTTCCAAAAAGAAAATGGAGAAGAAGGGAATACAGCATGGCCATCCCCCACCTGGGAATTGCTTTCTCACGCCTTTCCCCTATTACACCCCCCAACCATCTCTCTCTAGAATGAGCGTGCACCCTATAGCAAAAAGAAAAAGAAGAAAAAGCATACCAAAACACGAAACATGTCTTTAGGCCAAAGGTCATTCTTAAACCTAATAAAGTCATGAATACCTAATAGTTTTAGAAATTTTCCCAGACATGGGACCAGCAGTTAGTGTAATGGCTATGTCGCTGGACTCCCAAGTAGTTGACCGCAGTTCTCGTCCGGGACCCGGTGGCTTAAAACTCATGCCAGGCGCATGTGCGTGTGTGCCCAAGATCCCGAGAGGAGAATGAACAAGGGATTGCAGCGTGGCCATACCCCCTGGGGGATGATTTCTCGCTTTCTGTCTCTCTGTCTCTCTCTGTCTAGCGAGCACACGCGCTCTATAGCAAAAACCTCTAAAAAAAAAAGAAATTTTCCCAGACATAATTACAGGAAATATATTTATTAAAGAGTAATCAACATTTCTTTTAGGCTTTGAATGGTCTTTGAAAATTGTTCTCGTTAAGTCATTTAAAATTTACTAATATTTGAATAAAGTTAATACTTAAAAACACAGTTTTGGGGATCAGCAGATAGTGTAATGGCTATATCACTGGACTCTAACGTAGCTGACCACAGTTTGAGTCCCAGACCCAAGGCTTAAAATTCAGGCTGAGTGCATGTGTGTTCATGCCCAAGATCACAAGAGGAGAATGGAGAAGAAATTGAGGTGTGGCCATCCCCCCAGGAGATGATTTCTCATTTTCTGTCTCTCTGGGGAGTGCACAAGCCCAACAGCAAAAATCTCTCTTAAAAACAAACAAACCCAGGGCGTGGTGTTGCCCGCCCTATGGAAAAAAAAAAAAAAAAGAAACAAAACAAACCAACCAACCCACAGCTCTGGTGGCTGGTAGGTGACATGGTGATTAAGGCACTGACTCCCACATGGCTGACCATAGTAAGAGTTCCAGACCTGGTAGCTTGCTTTCTCACTTTCCCTCTCTTCCCCCTCTCTGTTTCTCTCTGTTGAGTACTTGTGCCCTATAGCAAATTAAATAATAATTTTTTAAATTAAATAATTCTTCTTTCTTTCTATCTTAAGAGAGATGTTTGCTATAGGGCATATGCACTCACCAGAGAGTCAGAGATAGATAGACAAAAAAGCGAGAAATCACCCCTTGGGGGGGATGGCCATGCTGCAATCCCTTCTCCTCCATTCTCCTCTCGGGATCTTGAGCACGCAAGCACACACACACCCAACATGAGTTTTAAAACTAAGTGGGTGTCTAGCGACGTAACCATTATGCCATATTCTGGTCCCACATAAATAATTCCTTATGAAAAACAAAAACAAAAAAACCTATCTTTGTCCACGCCTACGTCCAGGAGAAATGTATACATAGGTTCAATGAGACCTGAATAATACTCACACAAACACTATTTGAGTCCAAAATTAGAAATCACGCAAATGTCTTTCTAACAGAATAAATACACAGTATTGTGGTATTTGTATAGTGAAATAATGTGCAATGAAGACAAATAAACTGTAATTCCAATAAGATGAATGATCTCACAAATAATTTGTTACATGAAAGAAGCCAGATCCCAAAGATGACATTCTACATGTATTCCACATTTATATAAAATCCACACATAAGCAAAACTGATGTATGGCATTAGGACAGAGATATCCTTAAGGTGATGGGGAGCTTGTAACTAAAAAGAGGCAAGAGAAAGCTTATTATTGGGCTTACTCCCTGATCCCATCTCTCCAAGGAGGGAAAAAAAAAAACAGTTCACCAATCTCCCCTCATAGGGCTGTTTCACTTAGAGTAGATTGCTCTACAGACTTTCTTTAATAAAGGTGTTTCTCTCACTGCAGAGTGAAGTCGTTCCTGAAAGAAGCCAAGGACCCTGCCGCCTGTGGTGGAGACTCCATAGGTTGAATCTTCCTAGTAACATCTTCCCGCTCAGTGAATTTCCGCAAACCCCTACCTACCAGTTAATTAACATCTTTATTTTATTTCCCCTTATGAAATAAACTGTCTGTGCTCCTCTTTGAGATAAAATTAAAGAACTGTTTGTAATGATCTGTTTGACCTCATCTCCTTCTATCTCTAGGAAAACCCTGCTATTATGATTTCATCCTTGCTACAACATTGAAGTTGCTCTTTTTTTTTTTTTTAAAGAGTTTATATTGTTTTATTTATTTACTTGAGAGGTTTTTGCTATAGGGCACATGTAATCGCCAGAAAGAGAGAGACAGAGAGAGAGAGACAGAAAGTAAGAAATCACCCCCCAGGGGGGATGGCCACTCTGCAATCCCTTCTCCTCCATTCTCCTCTTGGGATCTTGGGCACGCACACACACACGCCCAGCATGAGTTAGTCCAGCGACAAAGCCATTACAACAACTGCTGGTCCCTGAAGTTGCTCTTTATCAAGTCAGTCAATTATCTCATTGCTACATCCATTGGTCAGTTCTCACTCCGCCTACCAAAAGCACTTTATTTTGCTGATCTCTCTCTCTCCCTTTTCATGGAAATAGTTTCTTGAGGATACCACCCTCACCCACCTCACTGGCACCTCCGTCTCAGCCTTCATTAGTGGTTTTTCTTCTCTACAACTCAGTACTTAAACCTCTGTTCTAGTCACACAGACACACTTGGTGATTTTCAAATACATGACCTAATAATATATACAAATGTAATCGCTTCTAAATTTTTAATTCAAGCTCAGACCTCTCTCCTAACTCCAAAACAGTGTATCTAAGGGCGTAATAAACACTTTCATTTGATATATCACATTTAACATACCCCAAACTGAATTGTTTAAAAGAATTATTTTACTTAACTTTATTTATTTTTAATTTGACCAGAGAGAGATAGAGTAAGAGGGGTGGGGAAGTGAGAAAGCAAGCTCCCAGGTCCAGGACTTGAACTGTGGTCAGTCATGTGGGAGTCTAGAGCCCTTAACCACCATGCCACTGGCTGTACCCCCAAACTGAATTTTCTAATATCTATCTTGAAAATCTACTCTACCCATAGCACTTTTCTCTGAAAATGGCAACTCCATCCTTTTCAATTTTTTTTTTCAGGAATATTTATTTACTTTATTATTATTCTTCAATTTGGCTAGAGAGAGACAGAGAGTAAGAAAGTAAGACATCATGTCTGGAACTCAAACCACATTTGGCTGTGTGGGAGTCCAGCACCTTAACCACCATGCCACCTGCTGGCCCCTGGCCATCCTTCGAACTGTTCAGACTAAATCTATGTCTTACCAATTCCACTTTAACTATCGTTGGCCTAAGCTATAACCTTCTTCTGCCCGGACTATTGCAATAGTCTATCTACTTCTGTCCCTTCAAGAATATATGAACATGGGCCAGCAGGTGGTGTGGAGGTTGAGGTACTAGATACTCACATGGTCAACCACAGTTTGAATCCTGGACCTGGTGGCTTGTTTTCTCAATGTCCCTCTCTCTCTCTCTCTCTCTCTGATCAAATTGAAAAATGATAATAATAAGTAAAAGCAAATAAATAATTACTTAAGAAAAAAAAGATTATGTAAACATACCAGTCACACTATTCTCACTCAATTTTAAGTGAAATTATAAGTTTCCTTGGCTAAAAGTTTTTCAATCTCCATTTTCTTAGAGTAAACATCAAAGTCTTTAATAACGGTTTATAAGACACAATATAGTCTAGACCTATAAGTTTCATCTCCCACTATGTTTACTCACTCCAGTCAATACTAAAGTGGCATTTTCACTGTTCAACAATTAAGTCAGGCACGATATTGTGTCTCTCATTATTATTATAGCAAATTAAAATAATAATAAAAATAATTTTAAAAAATAAAACTGCAACAGCTCTCACAGAGCTACTAATCCTCCATCCTGTTCCACTTTTACCCCATAATAATTTTTTAAAAGAATTATTTTATTAAATTTTATTTACTTATTTATTTATTTTAATTTGACCAGAGAGGGACAGCGAGAGTGAATGTGAAAGAGAGAGAGAGAAAATGAGAAAGCAAGCCACCAGGTTTAAGATTTGAACGTGGTCGGCCATGTGGGAGTCCAGCGCCCTTAATGACCACATATGGCCCCACATAACACTTTTATTACTTTTTAACACATTGTGCTATCTTTTTTTTTAGAACTATTTATTTAATTTTATTTATTCATTATTTTATTTGACCAGAGAGATACAGAGAGAGAGAGAGAGAGAAAGTGAGAAAGCATGCCAACAGGTTCGGGACTCGAATGTGGTCATCAATGTGGGAGTGTCCAGCGCCTTAACCACCGCGCCACCTGCTGGTCCCCATTGTGCTATTTTCTAATACACCATTTCAATGTGCAAGTCCTACTTTTGAATTTAAATTCCATGTGGTCAGGAAAATATTTTTTCTTATTTTGGCACCTTAAGTAAGGCTTGAGTTAGTAGACACTACTAAATATTTGTTAAACAAATTTATTAATAGACTATAAGACAGTATATATTCACTTGATTGACTCAAGAGATACTTTAATATATCTTAGATACTGGAGTTACAAAGATCAGTAAGAGGGGCTGGTGCCACAGCCTTGTGACAGAATGCTGGTTCCCACATGCATGCCCAAAATCCTAACAAGATGGAGAAGTTGAGGAGAAGGGATTGCAGTATGACTACATCCCATTGGAGGATGCTTTCCCTCTTTCTCTTTCTGTCTCTGGTAAGTGCACACATGTTCTGATAATTAAGAAAAAATAAGGGCCAGCAGGTGTCATGAATGCTCAAGTGCTGGATCCCACATGGTCTATTTTGTGGTTCAAATTCCGGTCTTGGAAGCCTAAAAAGTCACACTAGATGCATGTGCACATGTGCTCAAAAACCTGAGAGGAGACTGGAGTAGGAGAGAGCATTGTGGTCACTCCCGGGAGGTGATTTCTCACTGTCCCTCTTCTCTTTGTCTCTCTCTGGCGAGTGTAAGCACCCATCTATAGCAAAAGTAAAGGAAGATTAATGAGAGGGCCAGCTGAAGAAGTATCATTTATTGTCTGCTATATGACAAGCACATAATTATCTGTGACAATCTAAAGCAATTAGTTCAAATCCACATAGTCACTAAGTCTAAAAATATTTATATAACAGTGACCCATTACCAAAATACTATGCTCCATGAGCTGGAACCACATGGGGGGCCCACGTTTAATTCCCAGTCCAACCTAAAGGCTGGGTGCAGTGGCATGTACCTATAATCCCTGTGGAAGTAGAAGTAGGATTGTGAGCTCAAGGCTGGCCTAGGCAACAGAGTGAGACCCTGTGTGAAAATAGCCAGGCGTGCTGGTGTACTTCTGTAGTCCTAGCTACTTGGGAGACTAAGGCAGAGCAATCACAATAGTGAGAGACTGTCATTAAAAAAAAAAAAAAAAAAAAAAAAGGAAAGAATTTGAAGCCCTAGTTTGTTTCAACTTGAAGTCCATATTCATTCTGGTAAACCATGATGCTCCTTCACAAATCAATACTAAGGTCCATCATGAAACAAAATTGCTTTTGGAGTAAATGACAATAGCAAAATATTGAAGCTTCTATTATTTTACTTTTGGATATAATTTTACTTATTTCAAAATAATCTTCAGAAAATATTGACCATATAAATAATACCATTTAGACAACATATGAGAAGGCAAAAAAACCTTTTTAGCTTACTCCTTTAACGTGCTCAAAGGTGACATTTTTCATCTGGACAGGATCCACTGCAGAATCAAGCCCTGTTGTAGTCCGGAAGCGAACTAAAAGGGAGAAAATAAATGATTATTTTGGTAGATTAATAAAATTCTAACTATCTTAATTTTTAGAGGCAAGAAATGAAAACTCAGAAAAAATTAAATGTGTGAGAAACCTAAACCAGAGAGGAATGAAAACCAGTTCTAGGGACCAGCAGTTAGCATAATGGCTATGTCACTGGACTCCCATGTAGTCGACCGTGGTTCACATCCCAGACCCAGTAGCTTAAAATCACGTCGGGCATGTGTGCGTGTGTGCCCAAGATCCCGAGAGGAGAATGGAGAAGGGACTGCAGCATGGCCATCCCCCCTGGGGGGTGATTTCTCGCTTTCTGTCTCTCTGTCTCTCTCTCTGTCTTTCTGGCAAGCACACATGCCCTACAGCAAACAAAAAAAGAAAATCAGTTCTGGATTTCTAGGTAATGTTCAAACAAGGAAATGATTCACATTAAAAAGACATGTTTGGGGAACCAGCAGTTAGCATAATGGCTATGTCGCTGGACTCCCACGAAGTCGACCGCGGTTCACGTCCCGGACCTGGTGGCTTAAAACTCACGCCGGGCACGTGTGCGTGCGTGCCCAAGATCCCGAGAGGAGAATGGAGGAGAAGGGATTGCGGCATGACCATCCCCCCTGGGGGGTGATTTCTCGCTTTCTGTCTCTATGTCTCTCTCTGTCTGTCTGGCGAGCGCACACGCCCTATAGTGAAAACCTCTCAAAAAAAAAAAAAAAAAAAAGATATGTTTGTACTTTCCAGTTAAAGTCAAGAATTATTTTTCTCTTCTTCTTTTAATACTCAGTGAATAATTACTATGAATAATTATTCTTTTATTGCTAAATGGCACATGTGCTTATTAGAGAAAAAGAAAGCACCCCCAATGGGGAATGGTCATGCCACAACTTTTTTCCTCCATTTCTCTATCCCATTAGGATTTGGGGTTCACTTGCACACGCACATGGCCAGCAAGCTTTTCGAGCCACAGAAACTGATATTTGAATTGGAGTCAGCCATGTGACTTCTGGCTTCCCAGGGACAGAGCTTAGCTGCTGCACAGTGGGACAGAAATCTTACATCGATGGATCTCAAAATTTTCTGTACATAAAAGACACTTAAGAAATGTGTCAAAATAAGGGTATTCAGAGGTCAACAGGTAGCATGGTTAAGGTGCTATATTCCCACATGACTGACCAGGTTTGAGCCCCAGACCCAGCAGTTTGAAAATCATGCCAGATTGGCCAAGGGTCACACTGAACTGCAAGCTGTTTCAGGAGCGTCTTTAGAAGTTAGCACCATGGCAGAAGACATCATGACCAAAATCCAGAACTATAAGACTGTCCCTTTTTACAACTGCTTCCCCAACCAGAACCAGACCAGGAACTGTTGGCAGGACTACCTGGTCTTCCACCGCTGCGATAAGACAATGACTACTAAAGGAGGTGACATCTCTGCGTGCAAGTGGTACCAGTGTGAAAACAAGTCCCTCTGCCCCATATCACGGGTTTCAACCTGGGAGGACTGCTGGGCAGAAGGCACGTTTCCTGGGAAGATCTGAAGTGGCTTCAGTCCACCTTTCCTCTGCCCTCTGTCCTTCTACCAGGTGGTAAAATGGGATCAGGATACACAGTGATCCCTAACCTGGGGCTCTGAATCATGACTTAACTAATAATAAAAGTTCATTGGAAAAAAAAAAGGAAAAAGAAAGAAAGAAATGCTGGGTGCATGTGTATGCATGCCCAAATCCTAAGAGGAACAACTGGAGAAGGGATTCTGATGTGGCCATTTTCCCTGGGTAGGGGGTGATTTCTCACTGACCCTCTCGGTCTCTCTCTGGTAAGTGCAAGCAACCTACGGCAAAAATCTAATAAAAGACTGTATGCAAACCATGGCACAGACTTATGATTTGTAGATTTGAATATAGGCCTAGGGGAGTTTGCATTTTTTAAATTTTTTTATTTAAAATTTTTATTTTAGGGACCAGCAGTTGGCATAATGGCTATGTCACTAGATTCCCATGTAGTCGACCGTGGTTTGAGTCCCAGACCCAGGGGCTTAAACGCACGCTGGGCATGTGGGCATGCGTGCCCAAGATTCCGAGAGGAGAATGGAGGAGAAGGGACTGCAGCGTGGCCATCCCCCCCTGGGGGGGTGAGTTCTCACTTTCTGTCTCTCTGTCTTTCAGGTGAGCACACGCGCCCTATAGCAAAAACCTCTCCCCCCCAAAAATTCATTTTTTCCTATTTTAAATTTGTACATGATTAGTCATGTGGGATAAAGCTGCCTTAACAACCACACCATTGGCTGGCCCAAGTTCGCACTTTTTTTTCAGACAGGTTTTTTGCTATAGGGCGTGTGCGCTTGCCAGAAAGACAGAGACAGAAAGCGAGAAATCACCCCCCAGAGGGGATGGCCATGCCACAATCCCTTCTCCATTCTCTCGGGATCTTGGGCACACATGCGCATGCGCCCGGCGTGAGTGTAAGCAGCCAGGTCCAGGACTGGAACTGCGATCGACTACATGGGAGTCCAGCAACATAGACATTATGCTAACTGATGGTCCCCCAAGTTTGCACTTTTTTTTTTGGAGAGGTTTTTGCTATAGGGCCCGTGTGCTCACCAGACAGATAGTGAGAGACATAGAGATAGAAAGTAAGAAATCACCCCCCGGTGGGGGATGGCCACACCGCAATCCCTTCTCCTCCATTCTCCTCTCAGGATCTCGGGCATGTGCACACACGCACCGGGCGTGAGTATAAGTCACTGGGTCTGGGACTCAAACTGCGGTCGGCTACATGAGAGTCCAGTGACATAGCCATTACGCTAACTGCTGGTCCCCCAAGTTTGCACTTTTAACAAGCACCTTTAAATATCTGGATACAATTGATCACATTTAGATCCTGCCTTAAAGCTGGCATAAAAAACTAGCACACACCATAAAAAACAAAGTAAGGATAACATTATTTCTCTCTACACATAGCTCTCCTCCTCCTCCAACTGTTGCTTGTCCTCGAATGAATTATAAGTAATTACATCATTAAGTATAAGACAGAAAAGGTTTGCTAGGAGAGTAAACTATTTGAGAACAACTTAGGAGAAACTATTATAAGGTTTTCTTGAATCTACTCCAGTCGGGTCAGAAGTTCCAAAGTAGAGTAGTCATAAATAAGTAAACTGAGCAATTTCTAATTTCCTCACAAAATGTCCAAATAATTGCCATTAAGACTGATTGAGGCTGGTATCCACTTTCCGAGCCTGACTACTCCTACTTCTCAAGACTACACTTGTATTTTCATTTTCCCGTTTTGTACTTTCATTTTACTCTGTTATAAAGTTTTGTTGTTCTACTATACAACTGTCTCTTGGCTGAATTCCTTCTTGCAAGGAGAACTGAGGACTCCGTGCTAACATAAAGGTGCATACTGAAGTTTACATTATAGTTTATAACAAAATAGAAATGACATTCTATGAATTACAAATTCACAATGGGGAAATGGAACAATAAAAAAATACTCAATAGGGGCCAGTAGATGGTGCACTGGTTATGTTGCTAGGCTCTCACTTGGCCAACTGCAGTTCAAGTCCTGGACCCAGTGGTTTGAGACTCACACCGGGCACATGTGCATGTGTGCCCAAGATCCCAGGAGGAGAATGGAGGAGAAGGGATTATGGTATAGCCATCTCCCCAGGAGAGTGATTTCTCACTTTCCCTCTCACTGTCTCTCTCTCTCTCCAGCCGAGTGCACGTTCCCTAAGGCAAAAACCTCTACCACAAAAATAAAAATATTAAATAAACACCCTCAATAAATCTTAAAGGAGAATAGAGAGATAAAACAGATAGATATTTAGAAGCAAAAAAAAAGATAAAAATTTAAAAGCAAAAAATGAGTAGACAAAAATACAGGATCTAAGTAAAATATTCAATGCATCAGGAACATACAAACTGGAGGAGTGAATGTAAAACAGTAATTCCAGAAGAGACATTAATAGTTTCAGTCCACTAAGAATTTTTTTTTAAGGATATAGATCCTTCATAAGGAGAGTAGAGAACTAAGGGTGGGGTGGTTCTATGGCTCAGGGGTAATGCATCCATTAAAGAAGCCATTATGATGTGGGCACCCTAGTTTACACTCCCTGCCCTGTCACCTCAACATGCCACGCATGAGCATGAGTGCCCAAGATCTGACCAGCTGGAGGACTAGAGGAAGGATATCATAGCACGACCAGACCCTGTGGACGGTGCTCATATATCTATCCCTGTATGTCTCTCTCACTTTCACACATGTGTGCATGTGTTCTATCTTGAATTTTTTTCAAATGCATACAGAAAAGAGGAACATAAGATAAAAATTGTATGGCAGTTGAAAACATAATTGGAACCAATGGAATCTAACATTATTACTTCATTTTATACAGGCAAACAAAACAATATAGTACTCATGTAATTTTGGCAGCTTGCTTTCTCACTTCCCTTCTCTCTCTGTCTCTGGTCAAACTGAAAAATAATACATGAAACTAAATAATTCTTTTAAAATAAAGTTCAATTCATTAGTTTAGCTTTGAACAGAAGACTATTTCGCTTTGTATTGCTATTATTATTATTTATATTACAAAGTTCTCCCATTTACTTTTAAAATTGTAAGGGGACAGGCATCATTTCCTAAAAATCTAGGAAACTAACCACTACTAGGAATGAAAGGCCTAGATCCTAAAACTATAAACATTAATGTTTTCATTCACTATGTCTTAGATAAACCAACCACAAAGGGAACAAGACTTCAAGGAATAAAATAGTGAGTCAAATAAATAAAAAGAAACATTACCAGATAAAAATGGGTTTTTTAAGAGTCCATAAATGCCAAACAGCAGCAGAACAAAGAGAATCAGGCGAGTTCGCCTGAGGGAATCTGGAAGAGAAAGAAAGGAGAAAGCCTTAATCAAATGCCATTGATGAGATAGGAAAGCTCAATGAAACGCAAACAGGTTATTATTGATATACTTCATGACATGGAATTTGGGGATCTGGCATTTTTCTGCACAATTGCCATGTTTCCCCCTTCACCCTGCTACCAAAGCCTTCATGAAGCCACACACATTTCTACCCTTGACTTTCGTTTCTCTGTTGAGAAAGTGGAACTCCCAGCAGTTAACTCCATTTCCACACAGCTTAAGTCTCAATACAGTGGAATATAACCACTGGAAAGGTAGATGATTTTAGAAGTTATTTATAAAACCTTAAATGCTGAACTATGGCTTCCTTTCCATTTTTCTTTTCAAATATGGATAATATCAAATCAACTCACCATTAGTTTTTTGTGTCAGTGCTTGAGCTTTCAGAAAACCCTCTGCAAAACCAGTTTTAAATGCATCTTGGTGAGCTTCAGGTATATTTTTGGTTTTCATGAGCTTGTCCAAACTCTCAACTTCTGACCCTCTGTCCCGCAAAAGAAACCCCTACATACATAAAGGGTATATCAGCATTGGTTGACTACATAGATAATAACATTCTCTAGCAATATTGTGATTACCTACAGAAAAATTCACTGAAATTCTGGGATTTTATTTTTATTCTCAATGTGAAGAACAAAATTTAGACTCAATAATAAATTACATAATCAATGACTAAGAAACTAACACTAGATCCTAAGCTTGCATTAATCAATTAATAACATAAAGTGACATTGCTATTTAAGAGCTTTAAACCCTTGATGTTCATATCCCTTTCTCTCTATTAGAGGATAAAACCTCATTAATTTATTCAATGTTTATTAAGCAACTTTTACATACTCACCCTGAAGATATAAAGCTAAAGCACTGATTAGAAAGTTTTCAATCAATTGGGGAAAGATCCATAAATAACTTAAGTTTTAAAATCATTTTGATGTTATGTAAGAAGTACTAAGTAAGCTGATAAAATGCTACCTAAGGAAGACAGGAAAGGCCTTATAGAGAATGGGATTTCTCAAAAAACACCATGAGCAATCTGACAAAGGTATGACGCAATAGCAATCTTAGGTACAATCTTAGGCGTCAAGACTTAAATTCCCAGAGGAAGATAGGGGAACCAAGCAGCTGGCATACTGAAAGAAAACCAGAGAACAGAAAAATGGCACATAGAGGCCAAATGATTAAATGTTCTGTGTACCAGGTTGACTTAGTTAATAAAGAACAGTAATACAATTAGGTCATCATTTTATAAAAAAACTGGTTGGTGGCAGCTTAGAAATCAGACTGAAGGTAGAAAAACTAAAGGCCATGAGAGTAATCTAGGCAAGAAATGTTTATAGCTTATCTATGACAGTTGAATTGAGAATGAAGAAAGAGATAAAAGAAAAAGTTAGGGGGCCAAATTTTGGGACAGTGGTGGGGCATGAAATCCTGCAAGGCTGACCCATGTAGCAGAGGTCTCACCTCATGTTTGCTTAGTCTGCATGTGCTGGGAGAGGATCAGGGCCTTGCTAGGGGTACAGTCTCTCTTTTTGCTAGTGGAAATTAGATAAGTTTTTTGAAAGAAATATTTATATTTATGTATGAATGTATGTATTTATTTTTAAAAATTTGCTTTTGGGCATGTGCACTCACCAAAGAGAGACAGAGGGGGGAAGAGGAAAGAAAGCAAGCTGTCAGGTCTGGGACTCAAACCACAGTCGGTCATGTGGGAGTCCAGTGTTTTAACCACCATGTCACCTGCTGGCCCCAGGAAAATTAGATAATTTAAAAAAAAAAAATGTTTACAAAGTTGGACCAAGATTACTTTAGTGATTAATGGATGGGGGAGGTAAGAAAGGATGCATTTAGGCTGATCACCACGCTTCAGTTTGGATGGATGCTACCCAACAATATAAACAAAAAAGCAGAAATAGGTTGCTAGAAGTCAGAGGGAGATGTTTAATAAGCAATTAATGTGCGGTGCTCAGAAAAGTATTCACTATGATTGCCTACATTAATCCTTTGTCTTAAGTGGTAAAAAGAGATAATTTATCAGGCAACAAAAGAAATCAGATACTAAAGGTCCTTGTTTTTACCCCACCCTACGAGAGGGAGGGAGAGGCACAGGGAAAGGCAGAGAGACAGAGATAGATATCTTTGACAGATTCTGTTGATTTTTTTTTAAATAATTTTTATTTAAATTTATTTATTTATTTTAATTTTGACCAGAGAGGGACAGAGTGAGAAAGTAAGAGAGAGGGAAAGAAAGGAAGCAAGCCACGAGGTCTGAGACTCAAACCATGGTCGGCCATGTGGGAATCCAGCGCCCTTAACCACTATGCCACCTATGGCTCCCAGATTCTCAGTGTTTAGCAGTCTTCCTGCTCCAGGCTGTCCAGCTAGGATCACAGGTGCACACCACCATACCCAGCCTATTCAGGCTATCTCGGAAACTAAACGTGGGCCTCCCATGTGCCTTCCAGGCTCCAAAGTGGTGGTGGGACCTGTGAGCCACTGCAGATGTGCCTTTGTATCTTTAATAACTGAAAATTATCATTCTTTGTAACATTAAAATAAAGGTCTAATTACCTTCACAAATGATGGCGCAATATTCTGTGTTTCCGCTAATCTCTCAGAGGTGGATTGTAGACGTCGTGTCCTTGATTTCAAAGTTTTAAAGCCCCGAGACTGTATGAAAACTGAATAAAAACAGCACCATTTATTTTCATTATAAATGTTACCCCAAAAAAAGGAAACTGTCTAAGATTCTAAATTCTGACATCATACCTGTGTATCCTATTACTTGAGATAATTTGTTTTGTCAGACACTTCAACATTATTTAATTTTTTTTCTATCATACTTCTTTCAAACAGAACATTAAAAATTCTATTTATTCCATTTTGATGGGGGAAAAAGTAACTACAGAAGTCAGGAAATTTTATGATATAATTTAGAACACAGCCTAGAAAATCTGATATCATGACCCTTTCCTAAAAATAGCCAAATCATTAAATTGTATAGATAAAATCTACATAGCTAACTTTATACTTATTCTTGGAGATTACAAATGTTTAAAAAAGTAAAATAGTATCAAATAAAAGTCTGTCACTTAATTCCCTACATCCCTATTCCATTTCTCAGAAATAACAGCTATTAACTTTCTTTTTTTTTTTTTTTTTTGGCTATGGAGCACAAGCCCTCACTGAAGAGAAACAGAAAGAAACAGAGAGTGAGAAATCATCCCCCAGAGTAGGGGGCAATGCAATCACTTCTCCATTATCTTCTTAGGATTTGGGGCATGTGGGATCCAGGACATTAACCACCATGCCATCTACAGGCCCTCCAGAAGTAGCCATTGTTAACAATCCCATGACTACCCTTCAGTGCGCACACATGTTCTTTCCATAAAAATTAATCTACAATGGAACCAGCAGATGGCATAATGATTACGTCACTGGACTCCCACGTAGTCAACCGTGATTCAAGTTCTGGATTCAGCAAGCTTAAAACTCACACCAGGAGCATGTGCATGTGTGCCCAAAATCCCAAGAGGAGAATGGAAGAGAAGGAACTGTCGCATGGCCATCCCCCGGGAGAGGATTTCTCACTTTCTGTGTCTGTCTATCTCTTTCTGGGGAAAAAAAAATCTACAAATAGTATGCAAATTTTTACGACTGTATTTTTTTTTCTTTTTTCTTTATTAAATTTAATTTGACCAGAGAGAGAAAGAGTGAGAGTGAGAGAGTGAAAAAGCAAGCCACCAGGTCCAGGACTCATACCACAATGGGCCATGTGGGAGTCCAGCATTCTTAACCACCATGCCACTTGACAGTCCCTATAATTGTATTCTTTCACATAACAATATATCATAAATATTTTTCAGAATAAGACAGTGCATTCAGTTTAACAGCCATCTAATACTTTTCCAATCATCGGAGTAAAATAATTTATTCAACCATGTCCCTATTACAGACATCATTTTTTCCTTCCTTTTTATTGCTACAAATAATACTGTAGCATTCTTGCACATATATCCTTTTGTGCATATAGACTGAATTCCTAAAAGTGAAAATGTGAGGGTTACATTTTGATACTAAAGAACTGCCTTATAAGAAGGCTGTTATCAGGTTATGTGCCTACCAATGAATTATGAGTATCATCTTCTTTTCACTGTTTACTACAGCAACCATCCCATAGCTCACTCTTACTGACTCTGAGTTTAAGGTATTTTCCCAAGTTCTAAAGGAAATAAAAGTACTCACCTCTTTCAGTTAATTTTTTAAAAATTAATCTCTCAAAAAAAATTAATCTCTCATAAATAATCATAGGTACCATTAAGAAAAACTTTCAGAAAAAAAAATTCAGAATACATTAAATATATACATTTTTTTTCTCAAAATAAACACAGTTGTCATTTCATACCTGGCCAGTACTGAAGATCTGAACAAATGCTTTGAAGAGTTCTTGGGTGTTGTCTGTACAAGCAAGAGGAACGTAAAGTACTAAACATATCTAAGTAACCTGGAAGGAGATTACAAAGAATAAATTTTCTATTGCCAAACCAAGAATACAAAAATCATATAAAATAATTATTTTATTTAACATTATGAAAACCACAATATGAGTTTTACGTTTTAGCTGTCCATGATATGACACTGCTCCTATCAAAATATCTAAAGTGCTGGTAATCTAATCATTTTAAATTATCAGTTGTTACCTATCACTCATTGCTAAGATTACCTTTCTTATCTGGTATATGAATATAGCTGCCAATTAAACTAAATTCAAATCGAGAAAAATAAGGGCTAGCAGATGACACAGTAGTTACATTACTTGCACATAGCCGACCATGGTTTGAGTCCCAGACCCTGTGGCTTGAAAATCGCACCAGTCGTGTGTGCATGTATGCCCAATCCTGAGAGAAGAATGGAGGAGAAGGGATTATGGCCATCTGCTGGGGCAGGGGGTGATTTCTCACTTTCTCTCTCACTGTCTCTGTTTCTCTCTGTGGTAAATATGCACACCTAAGGAAAAAAACCTCTTAAAAACACCAAAAAAAAATGTTTTAAATATATATGGACATACGGTTAGGCTAAAATCACTTTTAAGTCCATAAAGAGGTAAGATATTGCCATTTCAGGACCAGCAGCTAGCATAATGGCTATGTCTCTGGACTCCCATGTAGTCGACCGTGGTTCGAGTCCTAGACCCGTTGGCTTAAAACTCATGCCGGGCATGTGTGTGTGTGTGTTTGTGTGTATGTGTGCCCAAGATCCCGAGAAGAGAATGGAGGAGAAGGGATTGCAGCATGGCCATCCCCCTAGGGGGTGATTTCTTGCTTTCTGTCTCTCTGTCTCTGCCTCTCTGTCTGTCTGTCTGGTGAGTGCATACGCCCTATAGCAAAAAAAAAAAAAAAAATTGCCATTTCTTCAAATTAATTTCAAAGTTCTAATGATACGATTCAGGATGACCATCTCTAATCCCAAATTCAAAATGATCCCAAATCCAAAACTTATACAGTGTTGACATGCTGCCACCAAATGGGAAATTCCATTAACACAGTGTCATATGCCACCTCATATGACAGGTTACAGTAAACACATCCAATACAAAAATACTGTATAAAATAACTTTCAGGATATGTCTATAAGGTGTGTATTTAATATAACGTGTATAATTTTGTGTTTAGACTTGGAATCCCACCCCCAAAGTGTCTCGTTTTATATATGTGTGTGTGTGTGCATGTATATAGATAGATATATGCATATGCAAATACTGCAAAATCTGAAAGAACCTGAAATCTGAAACCCTTGTACTCTTAAGAATTTCAGATGAGGGACAATCAACCTGTAAAACATTGCAAAACCACAGCTGCTATTCTCTTTCTCAAAGCTACCACAGTCAGTGGATATGGAGAAAGGTCCTTTATGGCTGTAAGCCATGAACGCTGCACTGATCCTTTCTAATTCCTACTCTTGACTAATGTGTCCCATCCTACTTTACACCCAAGATCTCAAGAAAAAGTCTGGCAGTAGCAACAGTAGAAACAAACAGTAGTTATCATCTACCTTAAAAAAAATTTTTAATATCAAGTTAAGAAACTCCTTTCTATATTTCTCATACCTCTGCCTATCTAAACATAGCAGACAGCTATTAATATGAGGATCTAAAGTAAATGTTAATATGTAGATGAGAAGAACAATAGACATAATATGAACTACACAAATTTTACTCTATTAAACACTATGTACTGAATCACCAGAAAAGTCATGACTGATTTTTTTCTATGCAAAAATGTGTCAAACTTTTCCAATGACTCCATGTCAAGCACTGCAGGCCAGGTAACTTAGAGTGAATGAGACAATAAAATTGAAGCTTTTTTTTATTTTTTTAAAAAAAGAGATGCTTGCCATAGGGTGTTGTGTACTAACTGGAGACACAGAGAGAGACAGGAAAAAAATGTGAGATACCCCTCAGGGGGAGTAGCCACACCAGAATCTCTTTTCCATTCTCCAATCGGGATTTTAGGGACGCACATGCACCCAGTGTGAGTTTCAAGTTGCCAGGTCCAGGACTCAAACCACAGTCAACCATGTGGGAGTCCAGCACCTTAACCACCATAACACCAGCTGGTCCCAAATTGAAGCATATTGTTAGTGTAAGCCCCCAAGCACAAAAATGTTCTATTTTCTTTTTCATGCCCTTATATTTTTGTAACTCTTCTGTATATCTAGTATTATTCCAGTATAAAAAATTACAAAGCACAATTTAGGGAAGAACCTGGCCCATAGTAAATGCTAATAAGATGGTATCTATTACAATTATTACTAGTACTATGATAGCCTATTTTAATTGAAATTTTAAAAATGTATCAACATACCATATTTATTTTCAAAGAAGGACTGTGCAGACACATGAGATGTATGCCAATGGGAAGAAATGTTTTTGCCTTTACAAAATCCAGGAAGTAGATTTTCTACCAGTCGATCAATCTGTCCAATTTTTAATTCAGATAATCCAAGGTCCCTCAAGTTAAGTACAGGCTGTAAAAGATTAAGTCAACTAAGTAAACACTAATATTATCATAATATCGAACATACATAGTACTTATTATCAGTTGAAATAGTGTAAGATTTAAAAAATCTAACAAGTACATTAATATTAAAAATAAACTGATGCACATATCAGTTTTATTTTTATTGAGATCAGTCATGTGAGTTTTTATAATACAAAACTTAAAAAATTATAGGGTGTAGCAGGTGGCATGGTGATTAAAGTGCTGAATTCCACGTGGTTGATGGCAGGTTGGTCCCAGAACCAGTGGCTTGAAAGTCATGCCAGACACATATGTATCTCCCAGAAGGGATGACCACAATGGAATCCCTTCTCCATTCTTCTCTCAGTATTTTGAATACACATGCAAATGAGCTTGAAATGCTTTTGAAACCACCGAGTCAGGGAGCTGAACCATGCAGTGGCTTTAGTCAGCCCAGGACCATGGACATGTGAGCCCCACATATTCAGGTGTCCAGATATGAACTCAGGACCTCCGTAGGTTAGTTTCACAGTGTTATGCTTTACTTACATGCCACTGTTGGGTCCCTGCCTATATTTTTTAGAGTCTTATTTTCTTCTTATTGGCCAATCCTTTGCTATTCCAATACCCTAAAAAAATTTTAATATTAAACTAAAAATGGTAATTACATATTTTTTTTTGAGAGGTTTTTGCTTTAGGGCACATGTGTTCACCAGAAAGACAGAAAGATAGAGAGACAGCAAAAAAATCATCCCCCAGAGGGGATGGCCACGCCACAATCCCTTCTCCTCCTCTCTCCTCTCGGGATCTTGGGCACGCACGCACACGCGCCTGGCATGAGTTTAAGCCACCGGGTCCAGGACTCGAACTGCAGTCGACTACATGGGAGTCCAGCGACAGAGCCATTATTCTAACTGCTGGTACCGATAATTAGATTTTTATACAGAACTTTTGCTATTCAAATGACTTTGTAGTTTCTCTCTCCTGATTGGACCCAGACTAAGATAATGAAGCCATTGTATGACCAATTATACTGGAATCTGGGGGAATATCTGTTTTAAGCATCTTAAATTTGAGTTGCAGCTTCTTAGCAGCAAGAATCACTGAGGATGAACCTCTGAAATGTTACAGATACTTTAGGGTTGGAGATATACTTGGGATTTGTCAAGACAATAATGTAACCTGAGAGAATATAAAGAATAAAAATTAGATTAAGGAGAAATGCACAATAAACCCAATACTGAAATGTATACCAGTTTTTAAAAGCTAGCAAAACAGAAAATAACTGTCACCAAAGTGTTATCACAGAACTCAAGGGAATATTTTGAAATTAGTGAATTTTCAGCAAGGTCAATGCAAAGGATAGGTTGAAAGACGTACATTTTTTTCAAAGGTCCTGTATTTAACACAAAGAAAATCACCACTGATATTGGAAGCTAGTCTATAAAATTGTAAAAGCCAAATTACATTGGGATATAACATGAATTCAAAGTCTTTCAAGTACAGATGTAAGTTCAAGATACGCTTTCAAGAATTCTGAAAGCAAAAGGAAAGAAAAAGTCAGTTGCCTGAAGGAAGCTGAAAGGGAAATTTTATTTTATTTTTTTTCCTGCTGTTTGCATTTCAGAGAACATGTTTAGATGAGCAAGACTTGATGAAAAAAATAAAGCCACCAAGTATCTGAAGGATGTCACTTTGCAGAAGCAGTGTGTGCCATTTCATCATTACAATGGTGGAATTGGTAGATGTGCCCAGGCCAAACACTGGGGCTGGACACAAGGTCAATGTCCCAAAAAGAGTGCTGAATTCTTGCTGCACATGCGTAAAAATGCAGAGAGTGGGGTTGGCAGGTGGCATGGTGGTTAAGGGCACTGGACTCCCACATGACCAATTGCAGTTTGAGTCCCAGACCTGGTAGCTTGTTTTCTCATCTTCTTTCACTCTCTCCCTCTCTCACTCTGTCCCTCTCTGGTCAAATTTAAATAAATAAGTAAGTAAATAAATAAATAAAGTTAAATAAAATAATTTTTTAAAAAATGTAAAGAGTAATGCTGAACTCAAGGGGTTAGATGTGGATTATCTGGTCGTTGAATATAGTCGCATGAACAAGGCACCCAAGATACGCTGTAGTACTTACAGAGCTCAGGGGCAGATTAACCTATAACTGAGCTCCCCTCGCCACATTGAGATGATCCTCACTGAAAAGGAGCAAACTGTTCCTAAACTGGAAGAGGGAGTTGCACAAAAGACAAAGATATCCCAGAAGAAACTGAAGACACAAGAATTTATGCATGGGAGTAAAGTCAGCATTAAATAATGCAGATAAAAGTAAAAAATTAAAAATAAATAAAAAAAATGTTCTTTAAGAATAATGACAAACTTTGTGATATAATAAAGAATACCTACTAACGATAAACAGAAGGACTAATGAGTATATATTAGAGGTTAATGACACCAATTGAGGGTTTAACACCATTAGTCTTCTTTTTAAATGTACACATTTTTAAAGAATTACTTATTTAACTTTACAATATTTGTTATTATTACTACTTTACTATTTAATTTGCTACAAGGCATATGTGTTCACCTGAGAGAGATAGACAGAGAGCAAGAGCGAGGGAGCAAGCGAGAGAAAGCAAGCTGCCAAGTCCAGGACTCGAACTGTTGTCGGCCACGTGAGAGTCCAGTACCCCAACCGCCACGCAACCTGCTGGCCCCAACACCATTAGTCTTAAACTGAACACTAGCTTCTAGAGTTTAGTTACTTTTCAAAGCCCCAAAAATGTACTTCACTATCAACTCAGCAATTTCACTTGATGAAAAATCAAAGGTTTAGCAACAAGAATAGTAACAAGTGTTGTTTATAGCAACAAAAATAATTAGAAATTATACCTGAAATGGCATATTACATAATGAATTGAAATCAGTATATACAGCATAATTCAATCATATTAAAAAATACAAGAAAGATAGGAAACATAAATACAAAACGTTAACAGCATTATCTCTGAAGGACAGAATCAGTGATGAATTTTATTTCTTCGGAAGCATCAACATTAATATCTTCAAAAATTCCTAAGAGGGACATAACTTTATTGCATGTAGCAATTTTGAGATAGTGTTTTCCCCAGTAAGGCTCCCTTGTACTATAATCTGAAAGATGTCAGGACAGTAAAAAGACAATGGATTGTTAAGACGAGCAGATGGCATAATGGCTATGTCGCTGGACTCCCACATAACTGACAGCAGTTCAAGTCCGGACCCAGTGGTTTAAACCTCATGTGGTGCCCATGTGTGTGCCTACCCAAAATCCCGGGAGGCAAATGGAAAGAAAGGGATTGTGGCATGGCCATCCCCCTGGAGGGTGATTTCTCACCTTCTGTCTCTCCAGCAAGCACATGTGCCCTACAACAAAAATATCTCAGAAGAGAAACAAAAAAAGACAATGGAATGTCTGTAAAAGAGGAAATAGAAACTGGGCAAATACTATAAAAGGAGTAAAACAAAATTTTCATTTATTAAAATGTTATTCTTGGGACCAGCAGATAGCGTGGTGGTTAAGGCACTGGACACTCCCACATGACCAACCAGGGTTCAAGTACTGAATCTGGTGGCTTGCTTTCTCACTTCCTCTCTCTCTCTCTCAACCTCTGTCTCTCTCTGGTCAAAATAAAAAAAAAAAAAAAATGAATGAATAAATAAAAATAAAATAAATAATTTTAAAAAAGAATTATTAATAAAACAAAATGTTATTCTCAAGCCACAGGGTCTAGGACTTGAAACACAGTCAGCCATGTGGGCACCCAAGGATGTAACCACTAAGCCATCTACAGGCCCCTTAGCCCCTTAAAATATTATTCTAGGGAACCAGCAGTTAGCGTAATGGCTATGTCGCTGGACTCCCATGTAGTCGACCGTGGTTCGAGTCCCGGACCCAGTGGCTTAAAACTCATGCCGGGCGCGTGTGCATGCGTGCCCAAGATACCGAGAGGAGAATGGAGGAGAAGGGATTGCGGCGTGACCATCCCCCCTGGGGGTGATTTCTCGCTTTCTGTCTCTCTGTCTCTCTCTGTCTGTCTGGCGAGCGCACGCACCCTATAGCAAAAATCTCTCAAAAAAAAAAAAAAAAAAAAAGAAAATATTATTTTAAGACTGATCCTTCAACACCCCTCCCCCCAAGAAAACTTTTCCAACTCCCCTTATACTGTCCTTTGCCATAGCTATGGTTATCAGGACCAAGAACAGAAGTTATTTATGGGTTAAAGAGGACTTGGAAAAACTTAAAGAGGACTTGAAAAACTTAACTACAGATATCTTTTCTATGAAAAATGTACTCTGAGCTTGTAAACAACTATCTTATTAATAAATGTTATAAAAATAAAAGGTTTTAGATTTGTAATTCCCTATATTCTAGGCATCACTGATTTCATAATTATATGAATATTAAAAGTACAGTTTCCTACTTTAAACAGTTCATATTCAAGTACCTATATTCTAATTGTTCAAGGGAGTAGATGGTAACTTCTTCCCATTCTATCTTCCTTGAGACTTGGAGGTAATTATGGTCAGTTACCTATCGGTACACTGTTACAGCTGGAGGAATATAAAAGACGGACTAGTTATCACAGAAGTAGTAAGGTAGAGGTAAATACCATTATGCTGCCATATGAAAATACAAAAAAATTAAATCACCAAATAAAATAAAGTAATTTTTGGATATGTACAAAAAAAGTTAGAATCAGATACTGTTAATTACAAAGGAGATTAAGCTGAAGCCTGAAATCATCTTGCTACAAATGCCTAAAGACATTTAATAACTATAATTAAAACTCACTATCTAAATAAATAAATTCATAAAACTTACTGTATCAAAAAGGTTTTCCCACACGACTAAATCTATTACCTCATTACTGGGAGCCTCATGCTCAGGAACTACATCTCGATGCTGGTTTTGAGAAACCGATGTACTGACAGAAATAGATGTGTTTTTTGGTGAATGAAAGGCATTGATGAGATGACTCAAAGGAACCGTAACCTAGAAAAGGAGGGAAAGTTAAAATTAAAATGTATTAAGTTCATTTAAAAATATAAATTATAGAGGTCGGAGCAGGTGGCGTGGTGGTTAAGGCACTGGACACTCCCACGTGGCCAACTGTGCGGTTTGAGTCACGGATGCAGCAGCTTGAAAAACACACCAGGCACATGTGCATGCATGCCCAAAATCCAAGGAAAATGAAGGGATTGTGGTATATCAAGTCCCCCAGGGGGGAATTGTTCACTTTTTCTGTCTTTGGCCAGCACCTGCCCACTATGGCAAAAATCTAAAATAAGTGAATACACACACATGTACACTAAATAAATGTAAAAATCAGAAACAATCTTTTTTCCTTGTCAAGATTTGAAATTTGTTAAAAGTTAAACATATGATACATATAAAAACTACATCTTAAAATTTTTAAGTACTCAGATTTGGATTTGCTTCCTACATAGAGTAACAGCAGACATCAAGGTTCTAACAACCCTTTTAGCTGGGCTCTTTATTACCTGCCCGAGTGTATCTCCTCCTAAACTCCCGTTCAGTCACTTTGCTCCATCCACACTGACCTCCTAGCTGTTTATGGAACACACACAGCAGGGTCTCGACACAAGATGCTTGCGTTGCTATTTATGCTCTCTTGTCTAGTTAGCAATATACTGCAACTTGCTCTAGCTCTCCCTTCAGTTCTTTGCTCAAAAATCTTAACTCGGGGGAGACAGCAGGTGGTGTAGTGGTTAAGACACTGGACTTAGGGTTTGAGTTCTGGACCTGGCAGCTTGAAGCACACCAAGTGCATGTGTATGAGTGCCCAAAATCCCAAGAAGAGGATGGAGAAGGGACTGTAGCATGGCTATCACACGCACGCACGCACATACACACACACACACACACACACACACACACTCTGGGGGGAAGTGGTGATTTCTCTGTTTGTCTCTCCAGTGAGCACACAGACCCTATAGCAAAAATACCCCTCAAAAAAAATTTGTAACTCAGAAAATCTGACTTAAAATTTCCTGATAAAAGATTTATTTTAGGGACCAGCAGTTAGCATAATGGCTATGTCGCTGGACTCCCATGTAGTCGACCGCAGTTTGCGTCCAGTACTGGGTGGCTTAAACTCATGCCGGGCGCGTGTGTGTGCACGCCCAAGACCCCGAGAGGAGAATGTAGGAGAAGGGACTGCGACGTGGCCATCCCCCCTGGGGGGTGATTTCTCGCTTTCTCTCTGTCTCTGTCTGGCGAGCGCACACGCCCTATAGCAAAAACCTCTCCAAAAAAAAAAAGATTTATTTTATTATTGATACAGAAAAAAGATCACGGGACAAACAGATGGCATAATGGCTATGTCGTTGGACTTCCACGTAGTCGACCGCGGTTTGAGTTCCAGACCCGGTAGCTTAAACTCATGCCGGGCATGTGTGCGTGCATGCCCAAGATCCCGAGAGAAGGGAGGAGAAGAGATTGAGGCATGGTGGTGATTTCGTGCTTTCTGTCTTTCTGTCTGTCTATTTCTTTCTGGTGAATACACGTGCCCTATAGCAAAAACCTCTCCCCCTCCCTCCCAAAAAAACAAATCGTATATATTTATTACATAAACAAAGCAAACTGGGTCCAATCTCTGTATGCCAGACTGCAGAGCTGGAAGCCACATGCTGACTGTGGTTCAAATCTCTGGACTAGCAGGTGCTCTGGTAGTTAAGGAGCTGGATTCCCATATGAGCAACTGCAGTTTGAGTCCCAGATCTGGCAGCTTGCTTTCTCACTTTCCCTTTCTCTCTCTCTCTGGTCAAGTTAAAAAATAATAATAAATAAATAAAATAAATACTGACACACATGCTCCCTGGCTGAGATAGCACAAAATATACTGGGCACATGTGCAAGTACCTAGGGTCTTGACAGCTGGAGGATTACAGAAAGGGGACTGTATCATGACTGAGTCACGTTGAGGGTGCTTCTCTCTCTCTCTGACACACATGCTCTATCATGAATAATAAAATAAATAAAACATAAAACTCTTTTTTAAAGTATGCATGCCCATGTTTGTGCAGAGAAAAAGTATGGAAAATATACTCTAACATGTGAATCTCTAGGTAATAAGACTATTAGATAATCTTCATTTTTTCATTTATATTTTATTTTCAACATTGTCAACAAAGAGCATGTATTATTTTTATTTTTGTTTACTTATTTACTTACTTACTTCCTGAGAGGAAAGACAGGCACCCCAACAGCCTTCATGCCAAGATCTACCTCCACTCTCCCAGTGTCAGGATCACAGGCAAGGATGTGCCTGGTCTGATCAGGAAGGTCACAGGACAAAAATCCAGAACCTTTCTCATGTGGATGTAGTTGCATTATTACTGCACCACCACTTGGCCTCAGTATGTATTAAAGCCAGAAAAAAAAAATTCCTTTAAAACTACTGGAACCAAATTACTTGAAGATATACATGATCTACTTCTCTAAAAAGGCTTACTTTAGTTATATCTCATCTCACTCAGAAAAGGATTTAAATTAAGGTTGATCTCTTCTCAGTGGGAAAAAAAAAACTCATTTTCTGTGTTTTATTTTTTTTACCACTTAAATTCAAAGGTATTGACCAATCAAGCAATAAGGAATTCTAAATGTGGTAACCATCCTTCAAAGCATAAACTACTTGCACAAGGTTCCTCTATTTGAGTCCAGTTTAAGATCGCCTAGAGCACACAAAATCTCTTCACCATCTCATCAACATCACATACCACTAATTCTCCACTCAGTTCACCTAAAACTAGTGCTTCCTGGTAAGTTATAACAAGCTGCTCAAGCAATGCTGGATCCATATGGAAGATTATGGGTTTAATACCCAGTGAACCTCTACAGACTGCTGGATACAGCCATTATCCTGAATATCTTGGAAGGCTGGGGGTGAATGTCAAAGTGTTGAGGGTGTTTGTGCATGTCTCTCTCACTCTCAGAAAAAAAGAAATTAATTTAGTGGGGCCGGCAGGTGGTGTGGTGGTTAAGGGGGCTGGACTCCCACATGGTCAACTCCAGTTCGAGTCCCAGACCTGGCACCTTGCTTTTTCACTTTTCCTCCCTCCCCCTATCTGGTCAAAGTAAAAATAAAAAAAGTTAAAAAAAACAATCTTTTTTTTTTTTTTTTTGAGAGGTTTTTGCTATAGGGCACATGTGCTCACCAGAAAGACAGAGAGAGACAGACACAGAAAGCAAAAAAGCTCCCCCCAAGAGCGATGGCCACACCGCAATCCCATCTCCTCCATTCTCTTCTCGGGATCCTGGGCAGGCACGCACACACACCCGGCACACATGCCTCCAGCATGAGTTTAAGCCACGGGGTCCGGGACTTGAACTATGATCAACTACATGGGAGTACAGCAACATAGCCATTACCCAACTGCTGGTGCAAATAAAACAATCCTTTAAAAAAAAAAAAAAAAAAGAAATGAAATGAACTACGTGCATCCAGTTTAACAAACTAGAAGCATCTCTCTCCATCATCTATCTTTTTTTTCCCCTAAGGTTTTGTCTACAGGGCACATGCTCTGTCCAGAGAGAGAGTGGAAGGAATCACTCCTGAGGGAGGATGGCCACACAGCAATCCACTCTCCTCCTGGAATTCTGGACATCACACACACACACACACACACACACACACACACACACACGATATCGTGCTCAGTGTGATTTTTCAAGCCGCCAGATCTGGGACTTGAACCACAGTCGGCTATGTGGGAGTCCAGTGCCTTAATCACCACACCACTTCCTGGCACCTTATCTCTTATATTTTGATCTCATGAAATCCTATTCTTTCTTCAAAATGAATTTCATCCCTTCCTTTCCATGACCATTGCCACCACTTTAACTGGGCAATATCCCTCTCCTGGATAAGTGCAATAGATTCCTTTGTGGTAACACTTTCCACTCTTGCCCTCTCATATCTACACAGTAAGAAGCCACAGTGATCATCTCTTAAAAATTAAAATCTGATCAGTTTTAAAATCGTCAATGGTTCCCAATACACTTAAAATTAAATCCTCAACTTTAGCTCTCTCTTCAGTTTGTCTCAAAGGTCTCTCCAACCTCATCTCTGCCATTATAGCCTTGAGGCACTGTGCTCTAGCCACACTAGCCTTACCTTTGTTCCTCCAAGTGGCCACCCTCTTTCCTATCTCAGAACCTACAGATAGTTGATTTTTTTGTTTTTGTTTTAATTTGCTACAGGACAAGTGTGTGCTCTCAGGAGAGACCTTCAAATAGTTTTCTGTCTGGTATACCTGTTCACTTTTTTATCTGGCTAACTCAGACTCATCTTTACTACTTACTACTCAGCTGACCTCATTAAGACAACATTCCACATTTGCTTCCTAACCAGATACATAACTGATGCCCAATAAATAACCACTTCAGTTCCCATTATTCACCCAGTACTAAGGAAGAAAAAGAAAAGAGAGAAAAAAGGTTGCATATTCACATACTTAAATCAAGAGGCTAAGGGTGTCAATCAAAAAAACTGTTTTAACCTGAATGTTCTCAAATATCATTTATTTCCAAAACTGTCAGAATTCTTTAAAAAAATTAAAATATTATCATCAAAAACAAGTTTTTGAAATGAACCAAGCACAAAACATGACCACAGGCGATTACTTCTGTTTATGCTGGAAGGTAATAATCAAAACCACTCTTTTAAAAAAACTATTACGATGTTATCATAAATGAACCAAGCAAAAACATGACCACAAATGATTATCCCTGATGTTCGTGCTGGAAGGTAATCATCAAAATCCCTTGGAATCCTTTTTTCTTAACTCCACAGAAACATGAAAAAACAAAAATATGGAAATTCGGCTGAATCAAAATTTAACGCTTACCACTTAATGACTCGAAAATACATAGTTTCGGGGGAAAAAAATCCACGCTTGGTTATTCAATTTATTATAGCATGCTTCAGTTAAATTCCATTTATAAAGAAAAAAAAACTATGGGATGTAGTTGTGAATACTAAAGCCTCTGGAGAGCCAGAAGGATATAAAGGGAACATTATCTACTCCCTTTACACCTACCACGGAGACCTCCCTCCTGCCTCTACCCAGAATGCCAGACACTCAACAAAGCCTGATGGATTCTCTACCAGAAATTCCACGCCATCACTTCGATCAGCCAAGGTCTCCATCACGTACACGTCACGCTTTTGCCCCCAACAGCTTCACTGTCAGCACTTTAAGTCTCAGGTCTGGCTCTCAGGATTGTCCCCTGATCCACTCATCACTCCCCGGAATTGCGTCGGGTTAGTAGCTTCTCTCTTAAGGACCCACCTCAGAAACTGCTTCTACAAACCCAACTAATAAACACCCTCCGACAGGGCCAGAGAAAAATGTTCTGAATGCCGGTCTCACCTGGGGTTGCACCGTGCTAGACAGGGAAAACATCTCCAGGCCCTCAGCGACCTCGCCCGCCTGCCGAAACTGTGCCTCCGTCCACGGCCCGGCGGGGAGGCGCTGGGCCCTTTCCCTTTTGTCTCCTCTTCTCTTTCTCCCTTCTCTAGACCCCAACTCCTCCCAGAGACGGAAAATGGCCTCTCCTTCCTACAGCTGCAGCAACGACAATCTGCCCCGGAAGGCAAGTCGCCAACGCAACAATACTTCCGGGGCATGTGGACCGACCCAGCGTCAGAGTTCTACCTTTTCCGAGGCCGACGTTCCTGTGGCGGCCGGTCGATGGCCACAAACAATAAACTCCTCGAAACTCTCTAGTTGTTGACTTTATGCTTAAGAGGGGGAATGCCATTCAACCTCTTAGACCTCCTACAGCTTCCTTATCAGATCTCACTGTCTTGTTCCGACTGGGCCTTGAGCCCTAAGGGCTCTTGTTAAATACAGTGCTTTTTATCTCCCTTGCAAAAAATCGAAAATCCTTCCTGTTTTCTTCTCAATCTGTTTCAGTCAGGCCAAGTACATACTCCGAAAATGTCATAGAACAAAGCGATCCATTCCCTTCCTGCTCATCCGGTTTCTCCACATTCTTTGACTCCACTAGCTTCCAACCCTCTAATCTGGCCATTGCTCTTCTGAACAATCCGAACGGGTCCTGTATTCCCCGCGAGGGTGGGAGGTCGTGAACGGTGCGGGATGGGGGAATTACAGTAATTACATCACGTCTGGACAGGGAAGGCTCTCACCAGCCTCGTACGGAGGCCAGGAGAGATTTCGAAGCCACAAGTGCCGGTGGCCCTTTACCTAACTAGCGAAGAACACTTTACACCTCCCGGTTCATTACAAGCGACGTCAGCGGGCCGTGGTGACCGCCCCGGAAGTCTGCGGAGGGATAGAGACGAGCCCAGAGCTTCCGACCTCCAGCCCATTGGTTCCTTCGGCGTCTAAAAGGGGCGGTGACGGGGCAGGGCTGCAGACTCGGCGAGGCGCCGCGGTGACGTCACGGCGGACGCGCGGCGGGCGGCGTGGGCGGAGCCTCACTTTGAACCTACTTGGCGGGACTGCGGGTGGGGCGAGGCCCTGCGCGGCTGGCCCGGTGCAGCTTCGGTCTGCGCTGCTCCGAGATGGAGCCCACTGCGGAGAGCGAGGAGGGTGGAGGCGCGGCGACAGGAGAGTGCGTGAATCGGTTCCCGGTGCCAAGACCGCCCTCCATTGAGGAATTCAGCATAGTGAAGCCCATTAGCCGCGGCGCCTTCGGGAAAGTGTATCTGGGGCAGAAAGGCGGCAAGTTGTATGCGGTGAAGGTAGGAAGTCAAGAAGAAAAAGAACGGGAAAGAGACCGGCCCTTGTGA